TGAACTCTGGGCCTGGGCACTGTCCCTCAGCTCTTCAGCTCAAGGCTAGCGCTCTACCACTTGAGCCACAGCGCCACTTCCGGCTTTTTTTTTCTTTTTGCTTATGTGGTGCTGAGGAATCGAACTCGGGACCTCTGGCATGCAAGGCAAGCGCTTTACCACTGAACCACCTTCCCAGCCCTGCAGTGTTTAATTTTCTAATGAACATGGAACAGGGGGCTCACGACTGTATAACTAGCTACTCAGGAGGCTGAGCTCTGCAGAACAGTTCATGAGACTCATCAACAATTAGCAAAAAGAAAAAAGTGAGTGCAAGGCACTGAGTAGTTCAAGCTCCAGAACCAGCACACACACCAAGAGAGAAAGAGAGACAGAGACAGAGAGAGACAGAGAGAGACAGAGAGAGAGAGAGAGAAACTCTAATGAAAAAGGAAAGGAGGTGATATAGCAGTGTTTCTACCTACTGACAAGGTGAAGTACTGAAATATAAAAAGTTATTGCCTTTCCCTCTGGCTCAGACACCAGCAAATGAGCAAAAGTGTCAGATACCATGTTAAGTCCCAGTATCCGATAAAGAAAAGGGAAAAAAAGAAAAACTAAAAAGTAGCCATTCGCTCTACTGAAAGGAACAGCTTACAACCTATAAAAGATGCTAATAAATGTTTATACAAATGAGTTACAAGATTATCGATTAGTGGGCTGATGCCAACAGCCATTAGTCACCACTACTTTAAACAAGAATGGAAGCTTTAAATAGTAGGGAACTGAAAGGAAAAGAAAAATTAAAAAAAAACAAACAACAAAGATCCACAAGCTACATTTCTTTACCTGTACATTCTCTGCAAATCAGATGCTAAGATTCCAGTGTCCACATATTTGCCACATCTATTACTGGTGAGGTACTAAAAAAGAAAATATGACAAATATAAAACACTCAATATTTCAAACTCAGTGACTTTAGTTAACAAACAAGATAGAGAGTTATTCTAATACACAGTACTTTTTCATAGCAATAAAAGGTTTGCACTCAGACGCTTGATCTTGTAGGCAGGCACATGATCCACGATCTTTCCATCTCTAGCTCAGGGGTAGCTGCAATTACAGCCATGAGCTACCATACCTGGCTTTTCTTTGTTTTTGAAACAAAAATCTCACTGTACAGTGCAGACTAGCCTTAATCTGATCTTCTTGCTTTGAGCCACAGAGCCACTTCTGTTTTTCTGCTGGTTATTTGGAGATAGGAGTCTCACAAGTCAGGCAACAATAACTAGCACCTATAATCGTAGCTATCTAGGCTGAGATCTGAGGATCATAGTTCCAAGCCAGCCCAGGCAGAAAAGTCTCCGTGAGAGTCTTTTCATTAGCCACTCAAAAACCAGAAGTGGAGCTGTAGCTCAAAATAGTAGATAGTGCCCCAGACCCTGAGCTGAAGCCTCATGACTGACCAAAAAAATAAAGTCTCACAAACTTTCCTGCCTGAGCTGGCTTTGAACCACAATCCTCAGACCTCAGCTTCCTGAGTAGCTAGGATAAGAGCCACTGGTACCCGGCTCATGCAAAGTCTTGGCGGGGGGGGGGGGGGGGGGGGGGGGGGGGGCACTGTCCCTCAGCTCTTCAGCTCAAGGCTAGTGCTCTACCACTTGAGCCACAGCACCACTTCCAGCTTTTTCCTTTTTGCTTATGTGGTGCTGAGGAATGGAACCCAGGGCCTCATGCATGCAAGGCAAGCGCTCTACCGCTGAGCCACCTTCCCAGCCCCTCATGCAAAGTCTTAACTAATGAAATATATCCAAAGCAAAAGGTCACCAAATAATTATCAAATCTGGAATCAGAGAATGAATATTATCATCTGTCATGATAACACAGTAAAAATAAAAATGACTATACTAACTTTCAGGTAATCAGTGAAGGATTAGTCTATGTTCTCAAACAAACCAGAATATAGCAGTAAACTAGCCAGATAGCTTAAGACACTATTTTTTTTGGATCAGTTGTGGGGCCTGAACTCTGGGCCTGGGCGCTGTCCCTCAGCTCTTCAGCTCAAAGCTAGCACTCCACCACTTGGGCCTCAGCACCACTTCGGGCTTACTGGTGGTTAACTGGAGATAAGAGTCTCATGGACTTTCCTGTCTGGGTTGGCTTTGGGGCTGGCTTTGAACCATGATCCTCAGATCTTAGCCTCCTGAGTAGCTAGGATTACAGGCGTGAGCCACCAGCACCCAGCTAACACAAGACATTTTAAGTGTGGGAACACAGTGATGTTAGGGCTTGAGGAAATTCAGTTTCAACATTAAATAACCTTTTTTTTTTTTTTGAGACAGGGTCTTGCTGACCCAGACTGATCTTGAACTCCTAAACTCTCCCCTCAATTTCCTGAATACTAGTACCACAAGAGCTGGCCACCATGCATGCCCACCCTTACATCATCTTTTATGCCTTACTTTCTAAAGACAGTGAATACAAAGATTCTAAATATTAATGTAGAATGGAAATGAGTGGCAGAGTCAATCTTATTTTAAAGTATGAGATTCTGTGCAATGTCCAATGGGTGCATAAAACTCTAATAATTACTGTTATTGAAAACTCAAGTATAAATACTTTCCTAGCCAGGCATCGGTGGTGGCTCATCTATGGTGATCCTCAGATCTCATTCTCCTGATCACAGGCGTGAGCCACCGGTTCCAATAGTTGCTATTCTGTCCAGCTCCAACACAATTTCTTCTCAAGAATCCCTAGCACATGACAACAGCAGGGTATTCAAAGCCCGACCAATCGAGTCCGACACTCCTTGTATCCGGGCTCCTCCTACAACATGGTAGTTATTTTAAGTTACTCTTAGTGGTGTATATCTCAATTTGTTGAGGTACTTTTCCTTTTATTGAATCTGCCAAGCCTGCCCCTGGTGCTCACGCCGGTCACCCTGGCTACTCAGGCGGCTGAGGTCTGAGGAACGCGGTTCAAAGCCAGCGCCGGCAGGAAAGTCCGGGAGGCTCTCATCCCCAGCGAACCACCCGAAACCGGAAGTGGCGCTGCGGCTCAGCGGCAGCGCGCGGGCCCGGGCTGACGAGCGGAGGGCCGCGCCCAGGCCAGCGCCCAGGCCACTGCGGACAGGAAAGAGAGGAGGGAGGAAACGGGCCCGGGCCCGAGGCTAAGAGTAAGAAGAGGCGGGCGGCCGCGAGCAGGCCCCGGGCGGCGCCGCCCCGCCCGAGGCCGGCCTCGACTCCCGGGGGGCGGCCGGCCTCGGCTCCCGGGGGGCGGCCGGCCTCGGCTCCCGGGGCGGCATCGCCCTGCGGGACTCAGCTGGGCGCGGAGACCTGACAGCTGCCCGGGAAGCCGCGGAGCCGGGGGAACCCACGTACCTGGACCACGCGCTGCTTGAGCTTACCGTCCACGAACGCCGCCGAGCGGGGCCGCATCGCGTCAGGCCGCGGCCGCGGGCCCGGCGGCGGCTCGGCGGCGGCCCGGCGGCGGCCCGGCGGCGGCCCGGCGGCGGCCCGGCGGCGGCTCGGCGGCGGCTCGGCGGCGGCCCGGCGGCGGCTCGGCGGGCCTGCGCGGGGCTGCCTGCGGCGTTGCCGGATAAGTGCGGCGGGCCTTCGCGGGGCTGTCTGCGGCGATGCCGGATAAGTGCGGCGGGCCTTCGCGGGGCTGTCTGCGGCGATGCCGGTCAAGCTGCGGCGGGCCTTCGCGGGGCTGCCTGCGGCACGCCGGTCAAGCTGCGGCGGGCCTTCGCGGGGCTGTCTGCGGCGATGCCGGACAAGCGGCTGCACAGAGGCGCCCGGCGGCGCTGCCCGTGCTCTTCTCCCCGCCACAGAAGCGTTGCGAGCGAGGAAAACACGCCGCCTGAAGAAGGGGAAGCCCTCGAAATACCCGGGAGGCTCTGGCAGTTTTGTTTTCAGGCTGGCCCAGGAGGCCCCGGATGGCTAGGCCCCCTTTGAACACGCTCCACTTCCTGGCCACCAGCTGGGGGACGCGCCCCCGGCTGGCTTGCGCCCGGCCTGGCGCCTCCGCAGACTCCAGCGAAGAGCTCACGCGTTTCTTTTCTTTCTTTTCCTTTTAATTTATTTTTCTGCCGGTCCTGGGACTTGAACTCAGGGCCTGGGCTCTGTACCTGAGCCTTTGTGCTAGGAAGTGTAAGACCCCGAGTTGTCTTTAGCATAGAAAGAGAAAAGAAAATGGGAAAGGACAGAGAAAGAACGAAAGAAAGCCAGTTGCCTGTGGCTCATGCCTCATCCTAGCTGCACAGGAGGCTGAGATCTGAGGATCGAGGTTCAAAGCCAGCCTGGGCAGGAACATCCGTGAGACTCTTATGTCCAATAAACCACTAGAAAACCGGAAATGGCGCTGTGGCTCAGCAGTAGAGCGCTAGCCTTGAGCTGAAGAGCGCAGGGACAGCGCCCAGGCCCAGAGTTCAGGCCCCACAACTGACCAAGCAAAAAACTTTTTTGGGGGGGAGGGAGTGCGTTCGCGGGGCCTGGGCGCTGCCCCGGTGCGCTTCAGCTCAAGGCGAGCGCTCTACCGCTGAGCCATCTTCCCAGCCCCAGCAGAAAACTCTTTACCAGTCCCAAGTTTGGTAGATTAAACACTAGAGCAATTATTTATTTGCCAGTCCTGGGTTCTGTCCCTGAGCTTCTGTGTCGAGGCGATTGCTCTACTTGAGCCACAGTGCCACTTCTGGCTTTTACTGTGGATGGGGTGCTGAGGAATCGAACCCAAGGCTTCACGCATGCTAGGCAGGCGCTCTACCACTGAGCCACCTTCCCAGCCTAGGAACTGCTTATAAAAGGCAGTAAGCAACAGCAACAAAACACCCTGACAGTAAGGACAAACAACAAACGTCGCATAGGAAGGCCAATCGACTTCCGGAAGCAGAGCTGCCCACAGCAAGTAGGTCGGAGGCCCCGCCCGTGGGTGGGCAGAGCCGCCGCACTTCCCAGCGAGGACCCGGGGCGGCTGCCTTCCCGACGGACTACAACTCCCAGCATGCCGCGGGGCTGCCCCCCACGCCCCGCAGGCCAGGAGCGGGACGGACGCCGGCCTATCAGGCTGTGCGGACCCGCGCAGGTTTGACGGGAGGAGCGGCGGCGGCGGAGGATGGAGGCGGTCGTGTTCGTCTTCTCTCTCCTAGATTGCTGCGCGCTCATCTTCCTCTCCGTCTACTTCGTATCCTTTCCTTGAGCGTGGTGAGGCCCAGATGGCCCGGGGCTTAGAGCGGGCGTGGGAGCGCAGCAGGCCGCCCGGCAGGCCCTGCACCGTCCTTGCTCCCGGCGCTCCCGAGCCGGGCCTGCCGCGCGCGGTCCCGGGGCCCCGGACCCTGTCCACCTGCGCGGTCCTGGGGCTCCGGAGCTGGGCCTGCCGCGCGCGGTGCCGGGGCTCCGGAGGTGGACCTGCCGCGCGCGATCTCGGAGCTCCGGAGCTGGACCTGCCCCGCTCGGGCCCGGGGCTCCGGAGCTGGACCTGCCCCGCTCGGGCCCGGGGCTCCGGAGCTGGACCTGCCCCGCGCGCTGTCCCGGGGCTCCGGAGCTGGGCCTGCCGCGCGCGATCTCGGAGCTCCGGAGCTGGGCCTGCCCCGCTCGGGCCCGGGGCTCCGGAGCTGGACCTGCCCCGCTCGGGCCCGGGGCTCCGGAGCTGGGCCTGCCCCGCTCGGGCCCGGGGCTCCGGAGCTGGGCCTGCCCCGCTCGGGCCCGGGGCTCCGGAGCTGGGCCTGCCGCGCGCGATCTCGGAGCTCCGGAGCTGGGCCTGCACTGCTCGGGCCCGGAGCTCGGGGACGCTGGGGCCGGGCCTGCTGCGCTCGGTCCCGGAGCCGGCCCCGCCCCGCCCCGCCCGGCCCGGCCCTGCGGCCGCCCTGGAGCTGCCTCTGGAGACAAAGGCGGGGGTTCCCCGCGTGGGTGGCGGGCTGTGGGCGCTGGCGGGGCGATTGCCCCGGAGGAGACGGGCGGGCCGGGCGCCCCTGACCGCGGCGCGAGGCGCTCGCGCTGCCGGAGGCTCGTCAGTGCACGGCACCCCGGGTTTTCCGTGGCCGCCCCTCGGCTTCCTGCCGTGCGGCCGTGTAGTCACCGGGCGTTCGGGGTTGGGTGCGAATCGTGCGGTGCTGCTTTCAGCCGAGCCCGCTGCCGCCCAGGCGCCCCTCAGGCCTCTGCCTGGGCTGGTCTTGAGCTGTGGCTCTGCCACCCCAGCCACCCGGGTAGCTGGGGTCACAGGCCCGGCTGCAATCTAGTTTTAAATCACTATAATTTCAGGCAGGAAAAATGAGCGAGGAACTCTGATTTTCCTAGATATGTACGGTGAGAATGTGCGAGACACCTGCCTCGGCGCATGCCGTAGCCGGGGTGTAATAGCGCTCTTCTGTCCGCTTCCACCTCTACCTGAGCAGCAGTTTTTACCGCCATGGTTTCTCGTGAGAAGTGCCCTTAGTTAGGTTAGGGACGTAATTGCCTGTTTCCTTCTCCACTTCCCCTTTGCCTAAGTCTAATGATCTTTTGTGCCTCTTGTGATACGGAACTGGATCTGTAATACACTCAGCAATGAAACTTGGAGCTGGTGGCTCACACAGGAGACTCAGACCTGAGGACCTTTGTTTGAAGCCTGTGTGGGCAAGAAAAGTCTGTGAGACTTTTTTTTTGGGGGGGGGAGGGTCCGTTCGTAGGGCTTGAACTCTGGGCTCAAGGCTAGCGCTCTACCACTTGAGCCACAGCACCACTTCCGGCTTTTTTCTTTTTGCTTATGTGGTGCTGAGGAATTGAACCCAGGGCCTCAGGCATGCAAGGCAAGTGCTCTGCCACCTTCCCAGCCCTCTGTGAGACTTTTATCTCCAATTAACCACCAGAAAACCAGAAGTAGAGTTGTGGCTCAGATGGTAGAGCACTAGCAAAAGAAGCCCACGGACAGCACCTATAGCCTGAGTTCATACACCAAGACTGGCAGAAAGCAAAAAAAAAAAAGGAAAAGCTAAGAACCCCAATTTTTCGTAGTTTTGAATTTTACTTTATTTTTTTTCGATTGGTCATGGGGCTTGAACTCGGCCTGGGCTCTGTCCCTCAGCTCTTCAACTCAAAAGTGAACACTACTGATGAGCCACAGCACCACTTCTGGTTTTCTAGTGGTTTATTGGAAATAAGACTTTCATGGTCTTTCCTGCCTGGACTGGCTTTGAACTGTGATCCTCAGCCTCCTGAGTAGCTAGGATTACAGGCATGAGCACCGGGCACCCGGCTGTTTTCAAAATTTTAAAATGTAAAATAGCCAGGTGTAAAGGAGATTGAGATCTGACAATGGCAGTTTGAACCCAACCTAGGCAGGGAAGTCTGAGAATCTTATCTCCCATTAAATACCTCAAATAACTGAAGTGGCTTAGCTTCCCAGGAGGCTGAGATCATGGTTCAAAGTAAGCTGGGCAGGAAAGTCCATGAAATTATAATCTGCAATAAACACCAAAAGCTGAAAATGGAACTGTGGCTCAAAGTGGTCAAATGCTAGCCTTGAGCACAAAAGCTCAGAGACAGTGCCCGGGTCATGAGTTCAAGCCCAAGGAGTGGCAGAACAAAACTGGAAATGGAGCAGTAGCTCTAATGGTAGAGTGCCAGCTTTGTGCCTAAACAAACAAAAATACATAAAATAGCTTATACTATAGGAAAATGCTAAATGGAAAATTCAACATTGGTAGACTGGTAGACAGTAAGGTTATCTTTGGGGTTTGTTTTGTTTTAATATTTCTGCCCCAGCTAGCTTTGAACCAAGACCCTGAGACCTCAGTCTCCTGAATAGCTAGGATTATAGGCATGAAACACCAGGGCCCAGCTTTAGGGTGTGTTTCGATAAAATTGGGCATATTATGGTATTTGTAGGAAACTTGGGCTGTCCCTCAGCTCTTCAGCTCAAGGCAAGCACTCTGCCACTTGAACCACAGTGCCACTTCCGGTTTTCTAGTGGTTAATTGGAGATACAGACTCATGAACTTTCTTGCCACAACTGACTTTGAACCATGATGCTCAGATTTCAGCCTTCTTAGTCGCTAGGATTACAAGCATGAGCCACTGGCTCCCCACTTAATTTTAGAGTAGATTGCCACCCTCCCCCATGAGGCTTGAACTCAGGACCTGGGTGCTGTCTCTGAGCTCTTGCTCAAGGGCTAGCACTGTACCTAAAACTTGGAGTCCTAGCCCCCTTTATGGTTTTCTGGTGGTTAATTAGCGGTGAGTCTTATGTGCTTTCCTGCCTGGGCTGGTGGTCCTCAGATCTCAGCCTCCCAAGTAGCTAGGATTACTGGCGTGAACCACTAGTATATGCTTTTTGTTAAGAGTTTGGAATCATCTGTGATTTTTTTTTTTTTTGGGGGGGGGGGGGGTCCGGTCATGGGGCCTGAACTCTGGGCCTAGGCGCTGTCCCTCAGCACTTCAGCTCAAGGCTAGCGCTCTACCAGTTGAGGCACAACGCCACTTCCAGCTTTTTTCTTTTTCCTTATATGGTGCTGGGAAATCGAACCCAGGGCCTCATGCATGCAAGGCAAGTACTTTACCACTGAGCCACCTTCCAAACCCCTCATCTGTGATTTGTGTGTGTGTGTGTGTATGTGTGTGCCAGTGCTGGGGCTTGAACTCAAGGATTGGGTACTGTCCCTTAGCTTTTTCCGCTCAAGGCTGGCACCCTACCATTTTGGGCTTGTGCATGTGTTTGATTAGATATAAGAGTCTCTTAGACTTTCTTGCCATATCTCAGTCTCCTAAATATGCCACTGGCATAAGCCACCAGCGCCCAGCTTTTTTTTTTTCTTTCTTTTTACAGAGATTTGGACTGAACTGAAGGCTCCAACCTTATTCATATTTTTAAGATTTTAAGAGGGGCTGGGAAGGTGGCTCAGTGGTAGAGCGCTTGCCTTGCATGCATGAGGCCCTGGGTTCGATTCCTCAGTACCACATATGCAAAAAGAAAAAAGCCGGAAGTGGCGCTGTAGCACAAGTGGTAGAGCGCTAGCCTTGAGCTGAAGAGCTGAAGGACAGCGCCCAGGCCCAGAGTTCAGGCCCCATGACTGGACCCAAAAAAAAAAAAGATTTTAAGAGTTTTTTTTTTTTTTTTTTTTTTTTAATATCTAGTCCACATTTAAAATTTATTTTCTTGGGCTGCTGGGGATAAAACCCAGAACTTCATAGAGCTCAACCCGTAAAGTATGTTCCAAGTCCCCAGATTTTTATCTGTTCCACATTTAGGATCTCATGGGTAAATGATCTGGTATGTGTTAGATTAGACTTGAGTGTAAAATGATTACTTTGTGAAAATAGTTTGTTGAAAGAACATGAGTGAGAATGACTTGACTCATGAGCATACTTTAAGGAAATAACTAAAAATTTCACCTCAGATTTAATTTTGACGCAGCTAGAATGACTTTCTGAAACTTAAGTACTTGTCATATGAGAAGTACAGTTCCTTAACTTGATTACCAGATAATTACATTGTCTGATTTAGAATGTGATTATATTAATGCTAGATCATGTTGCTCAAAATTAAACAAGGTAAGATGTTTCTTTGCTTATTTTTTGGCATTGAAGTCAGCTCTTCATTTTCTATATTAAAGATTATTATAAATAACAAGTATATGTACTTTTGGTGCCAGTCCTTAGGGTTATGGTCAGGGCCTGAGTGCTGTCCCTGAACTCTTGCTCAAAGCTAGCTCTTTACCACTCGGGCCACACCACCACTTCTGGCTTTTTGGTGTTTTAATTGGAGATGAGAGTCTCATGGATTTGTCTGCTAGGCATGCTGTTGGACTGGATCTTCAGATCTCAGCCTCCTGAATAGCTAGGATTATAGGCGTGAGCCACCAGCACCCAGCTTTTTTGAAGACTTAAGTTTCATTTTTAACTCTGCATGATCCTTCCTGGTTCTGTTGTCATAATAGACAATATCATTACTCACACAAAGTAAAGATTGTTTATGAAGGGCATTGTTGTAGTTTTTTTTGGTCAGTCCTGGGCCTGAACTCTGGGCCTTGGTGCTGTCCCTCAGTTCTTCAAGGCTAGTGCTCTACCACTTGAGCCATAGCACCACTTCTGGCTTTTACTGTTTGTGTGGTGCTGAGGATTCAAGCCCAGGGCCTCATGCATGCAAGGCAAGCACTCTACCACTGAGCCACCTTCCCAGCACCCAGGACATTGTTTTTTGTTTTGTTTTCTTTTTTTGGTCAGTTGTGGGGCTTAAACTCTGGGCCTGGGTGCTGTCCCTCATCTCTTCAGCTCAAGCCAAGTGCTCTACTGCTTGAGCCACAGAGCCACTTCCGGTTTTTGAGTGGTTTATTGGAGATAAGAGTCTCTGGACTTTCCTACCTGGGCTGGCTTTGAACCTCGATCCTTAGATCTCAGCCTCCTCAGTAGCTAGGATTATAGGCGTGGGCATTGTTTTTGTTTTCTGTGTTCAGACCTCCTTTTTCCTCTTGGGAAAATGCTTATTGGTCTTTTTGTTGAGTGAAAGTCCTTTCTTGTATGGTTGTGGAAAAATGGATTGGTTAGTTGATATCTCAGGGCCATTTTACCTTTAGTCAGGATTTCATTTTGGCACAAGTACTCTGCAGAGCTTGTCTAGATACAAGGAAGCCATTTGTTCTTGATTTGTTTTGAGGTGATCAGACAGGTTTTCTGGATGAAAGTACATTAAGAGTGACCTAAAAAACATTCCTCTGTGTCTTCACATTTTCAGTCTAGTTTTTCTAGCTCATGTGGAAAATAAAATTATATTTCATTTGGAAAACTGTATCTCAAGCCAGGCACTGGTGGTTCATGCGTATAATCCTAGTTACTCAGGAGGTTGAGATCTGAGGATCGCGGTTCAAATACATCCCAAGGGCTGGGCACCAGTGGCTCACGCCTGTAATCCTAGCTACTCAGATGGCTGAGATCTGAGGATCGAGATTCAGAGCCAGCCCAGGCAAAAAAGTCCATGAGACTCTTATCTCCAATTAACCACTCAGAAAATTGGAAGTGGTGCTATGACTCAAGTAGTAGAGCGCTAGCCTTGAGCTGAAGAGCTGAGGGACAGCGCCCAGGCCCAGAGTTCAAGCCCCATGACAGACCAAAAAAAAAAATCTCAGGTAGGAAAGTCCTTAAGACTCTTAGCCGCAATTAATCACCAGAAAACTGCAAGTACTGCTATGGTAGAACTGGTAGAACTCTAGCTTTAAGCCAAAAATCTTAAGGACAGTGCCCAGGCCCCAAGTTCAAGCCCTGCAACCAAAAAACAACAATAACAACAAAAAGAACTCTATCTGGAAAGTTAAAATTTCTTTTCCTTTCCTTTTTTTTTGCTAGTCCTGAGGCTTGAAGTCAGGGCCCCACACACTTTCCTGCCCTGCCTGGCTTTGAACCATGCTCATCAGTTTCCAGCCTCCTGAGTAGAGTAGCTAGCATTATAGGCATAAGCCACTGGTGCCTGGCTTTGGCTGGCTTTTTTTAGGGCTAATGCTCTACCACTTGGCTTTTTTTTTTTTTTTCTTGTGGATCTTGAACTCTGGGCCTGGGCACTCTGCTTCTAGATTATTGATATGAGAGAAGAGTCTCAGGGACTTTTCTGCCCCAGCTGGCTTCAGATCTTGATCCTCTTCATTTCAGCCTCTTGAGTTGCTAGGATTGTAGTTGTCAACCACCAGCACACACCTCCTACGTGTTTTATTTTTAAGCTATATCTTGATGTATTTGCATGGAATAAGCAGTTACAGCAGAAGGAGTGTCTGAGTCTAATCATCTTGAAACACTAGCTTGTAAGTTTTCTGTGTGTTCATTAAGATAGCTTCGAATAACATGTCAGGTAAGATCTATAATACTGTGTTCTTCCATTACAGTGGTAGCTCCAGAGTTGAGATGTATAACACAGTGTTCCTCCATTGCAATGGGTAGCTCCAGAGTTGAGGTGTATAATGCTGTGTTCCTCCATTGCAGTGGGTAGCTCCAGAGTTGATTGGCCACACCATTGTCACTGTGTTAATGCTTGTTTCACTGCACTGGTTCATCTTCCTTCTCAATCTACCTGTTGCCACTTGGAATGTTTATCGGTAAGTCAAGTTTGTTACTTGTTTAGTATTGGAGTAACTAAATAAGCAAGCAGGCTGCTCTCTACAGAAGTAAGGAATAGTAAAGATGTTTTTTGAAATATGAATAAATCTTTGGTACACTGGGCAAATGGCAGTTTTCATGGCTTGGTCTTGTACAGTACACATGTACTATAAATTTGTAAAATATGTAAAGCTTAGTTGTGATGTCTAAATACTCATGAAATGTGTTTTCATGGACTTGAATTTAGAAGAATAGTCAAAAGGACTGGGAAGGTGGCTCAGTGGTAGAGTGCTTGGCTAGCATGCATAAAGCCCTGGGTTCAATTCTTCAGCACCACATAAACAGTAAAAGCTGGAAGTGGCACTGTGGCTCAAATGGAAGATTGCTATCCTTGAGCAAAAGAAGCCCAGGGACAGTGTCCAGGCCCTGAGTTCAAGCCCCAGGACTGACAAAACACACACACACACACACACACACACACACACACACACACAAAGAACAGTCAAAAGCCTAAGAATATAATGCCTTTTTTCATTATTAATTTTAGTTATTTAAATTTATTATTATTAATTTTAATGATTGTTTTTTCTTTTGCTAGTTCTGGGGCTTAAACTCAGGGCCTAGGCACTGTTTCTGGACTTCTCTTGCTCACTCTACCCCGTGAGACATAGCACTACTTCCAGCCTTTTCTGTATATGTGGTACTGAGGAATTGAACCCAGGGCTTCATACATGCAAGGCAAGCACTGTACCACTGAGCCACATTCCCAGCCCCTCAAATTAAGTTTTTATGCCTATAACTTATTAGGTAATTCCACTGCTTTTTGTACAACTAAGGCAAATTAACATAAAGTATTTTTACTTAATCAATTTGGAAGTTTGTTCAAAAATAGTTTAGTGAAGACAGACACTGGTGGTTCATGCCTATAATCCTAGCTACTCAGGAGGCAGAGATCTGAGGATTGCAGTTCAAAGCCAGCCTGGGAAGGAAACTCCTTGACTCTTATCTCCACTTAACCCCCAGAAAAATGGAAGTGGTGCCGTGGCTCAAGTGGTAGAGCACTCACCTTGGGCTGAAGAGCTGAGGGACAGCGCCCAGCCCAGAGTTCATGCCCCATGACCACCACCGATAACAACTAAGCTTACAAATCTAGAGTTTATTTTAATTCAGTTAATTAATTAATTTAATTAATTAGGTACTTGATGTTTAGAAGGCTGAGATCTGATGACCATGGTTTGAAGCCAGCCTAGGCAGGAAAGTCCATAAGACTTTTTTGGGGGGGGGGTCCGGTCGTGGGGCCTGAACTCTGGGCCTGGGCGCTGTCCCTCAGCTCTTTGACTCAAGGCTAGCACCCTACCATTTGAGCCACAGTGCCACTTCCGGCTTTTTTCTTTTTGCTTATGTGGTGCTGAGGAATCGAACCCAGGGCCTCATGCATGCAAGGCAAGCGCTCTACCACTAAGCCACCTTCCCAGCCTGTCCATAAGACTTTTATTTCCAGCACAAAGCCAGAATTTTCAGGGGCAGTGCTCAGGCCTTCAGTTCAAACCCCAGGACCAGTACAAAATAAAAATTGAATAATTTTTGCAGCACTGACGGTTGGCATTAGGGTCTTTTTTTTTTTGTTTTTTTTTGGTCCGGTCGTGGGGCCTGAACTCTGGGCCTGGGCGCTGTCCCTCAGCTCTTTGACTCAAGGCTAGCACCCTACCACTTGAGCCTCAGCGCCACTTCCGGCTTTTTTTTTTTTTCTGCTTATGTGGTGCTGAGGAATCGAACCCAGGGCCTCATGCATGCAAGGCAAGAGCTCTACCACTGAGCCACCTTCCCAGCCCCGGCATTAGGGTCTTTTACTTAGCAGTTGAGTGTTCTGCCCCTCGAACCCTCCCCCATGGGTTCTTTCTCGCCGGGTGTTGTATTTTTGGCCTGGATTGTGATCCTTCCACACGTCGGTAGGAGCATATACATCATCACAGTGCCTGGCTTGTTAGTCAAGATGGGGATTCCACTAATCCTTTGCCAAGCTTGCCTTAAACTAATTTTCCAGTCTTTACCCGCAAGTAGCTGGGATTTAGGTGTTTACTGGCATGATCAGTTGTAGTGTTTGTTGTTTTGTCTTCTTTTGCTTACTGAGTCAGTCTCACTGTTCCAGTCTTCCTGTTTTACCCTCCCCTGAGTGCAGGGATTATAGGCATGTACTGTACTACATTACTACATGCTGGATTTATTTGTGTGTTAGTGGTTTGGTTTTCTATCTAGATTTTTGGGAAAAGCCATTTTTCATTAGCTGATTCTTTTTTTGGGGGGTGGGGGGGGAGGTCGTGGGGCTTGAACTCTGGGCCTGGGCACTTGCAGTTTTCTATGTCTCACAGACTTTCCTGCCCTGGCTGGCTGTGAACTGCAATCCTCAGATCTCAAGCTCCTGAGTAGCTAGGATTACAGGCATGAGCCACTGACGCCTGGCTTTCCCTGGCTGATTCTTAAGCATGATATTGTAAAGTACAGTTAAAATAAAAAGGACTAAAGCATTGGAGGGCATTAGGACACACAAAAGGACACACACAGGATGTATTAGAGATGAGGAAAGGAGTGGATTTTGATTAAGGAACTTTCCAAGATCAAGGGACTGGAATCTGAGCTGCATACCTCTTTCCAGTATGTTGGTATCCTGGGGAAGGATCTTACTATTTTTTTTCAGGTTTTTTATTGGTATTACATGATCAGTTCCATACATCCATACTCTAAATATGAACATATGCTTCTTGCTCTACTCAGCCTCCTTAGTAGATAGGATTACAGGTGTGAGCCACCAGTGCCCTGCTGGTGGTGGTGTTTTGAAGGCCAGTTCCTCACCAGATTCTAGTGGTGGTGTTTTGAGGCAGAGTCTTGCTATGTAACCCATGCTCATACTCTTCCTGCCCTGGCCTCCTGAGTGGTGGAATTACAGATACTTGTCACCCACTAGGCCTGGTCCCATGCAGATTTTTTTTTTTAGCATATATCTGTAACCCTATGATTTCTTTTAAGTAAAATGTACATTTGAGAATGAGAATGGATACTGGAATCTGAGACCATGGGTCTTGGTATTTCTCAGACCACACTATAAATGTGCTAGAAGAGTTTTGGCTTGAATTCTTTGTGTAGAATACATATAGAGTATTGTAAAAGACTCTATGAAGTCAATTATAAAAATTTCTTTTCCTGTTAATAATAAAAACAAAGATCATGTGTGCTTAACATCCTCACAACTGCAGTAACAGGTTGCCTGTCAGTTCTGCTGGTCACAGGTTTTTAAAAGGTTAAAAAAACGGGTGCTAGTGCCTCATACCTGGAACTCTAGCTATTCAGAGACTAGGATCTGAGAACTGTGTTTGAAGCCAGCCCAGGCAGAAAACCCTGAGAGATTCCACCTCCAGTTAACCAACAAAATGCCAACTGGAGGCATCACTCAAGTAGTAGAGCACCAGCTGTGAGCAAAAAAAACTAAAATCAAGTAATCCTAGCTACCCAGGAGGCTGAGATCTGAGGATCACCTTTGAAAGCCAGCCCAGAAAGGAAAGTCCATGAGACTCTTATCTCTAATTACCCAGCAAAAAGCTGGAAGTGGAGCTGTGCCTCAAGTGGTAGAATGCTAGCCTTGAGCACAAACATTCAGAGACAGCTCCCAAACCCTAAGTTCAATCCCCAGGACTGGCACCAAAATGAAGAAAGGAGAGAAAAAAGAGAGGAAAGAAGGAAGGAAGGGAGGGAGAAAAAAGAGAAGGGAAAAGAAAAGAATGAGGAAGGGACGGACGGACGGACGGAAGGAATGGCATAAGAGTGACATAAGGGATGAATTTAATCAGGATACATTGTATACATGTGTGGAAATGTTACAGTAAAGCTAGGGGCTAGTGGGTCACCAACCAAGACAGGAGAAACCTGAGACTCTTCTCTCCAATTAACTACTAGAAAACTCAAAAAAAGTGACACTGTAGTTCAAAGTGGTAGAGCACTACCCTTGAGCAAAAGAACTCAGGGACAAGGCCCAGGCCCAGAGTTCAGGCTCCACAACCAACCAAAGAAAACCTCCAGAAAGGGTACAGTGAAATCTATTAGTATACAATGAATGCATACTAATAAAAACAAACTAGAGAAGGGCGACATTGAGTTATATTGTATTCTAAAACTGCTTTGTTAAATGACAACTCCTCTGTACACCTACTTAATGATAAAAAAAAAAATTAGTTAAAAAAATGCAGCTCACAGAACCAGACTGCTTGGGTTTAGATTTTAACCTCATAGTTAATTATGTGGACTCCGGCAAGTTATTAACCTCTATGCAACTCAGATTCTTTGGCTATAAAATGGGGACGAGAGCACATAAATACCTCCAAATGAATGAATGATTGAATAAAAAAAGTAATAAATGCCCTGAGTCAGTGTAAGAAAAGTTTTGTTTTGTTTTTTCTGGAAGTATTGATTGGATACAGAAGAGCTAAAGGGAGAGAAACAAATTTGGGAAATGGGATAAGAAACAGGAACAAGCTTGGCCCAGCCAGTGGCTCTTGCCTGTCAGCTACTCAGGTGGCTGAGAGGATCGTGGTTCAAAGCCAGCCTATGCAGGAAACTCCATGAGACTCTTATCTCCAAATAAACATCAAAAAAAGCCATAAATGGAACTAAGGCTCAATTGGTAGAGCTCTAGTCTTGAGCACAAAAGCTAAAGGACAGCACTAGGACCTGAGTTCAAGCCCCAGGATGAGCACAAAATAAAGAATAATAATAATAAACCAGAAACAAAAAACCTTGGAACAACAAAAACAAAAAAGACACAGGGTAATGTTAGTGGAAATGAAATGAACAATTACATATATGTAGTATGAAGAAAGCATGAAAAAGACTTTAATGGGGCTAGGAAGGTGGCTCAATGGTAGAGCGCTTGCCTTGCATGCCTTAGGCCCTGGGTTCGATTCCTTAGCACCACATAAGCAGGGGGAAAAAAAGCCGGAAGTGGCACTGTGGCTCAGATGGTAGAGCGCTAGTGTTGAGCTGAAGAACTGAGGGACAGCACCCAGGCCCAGAGTTCAGGCCCCATGACCGGACCCAAAAAATAAATAGATAAAATGAAAAATATAAAAGACTTTAATAGACTGGCTATGAAAGATAAGAGAAAAATCCAGTAAGTTTTTAAGGACCACAAAGAAAATAGTAACATTTTTAAGAATTATTTTTTATGTAGGTCCTTTTTGCTTTTGCTGAATTCTACCACTTTGAGCCACAGTACCACTTCTAGTTTTCTGGTGGTTAATTGGAGACAAGAGTCTTTTGGACTTTCCTGCCTCGGCTGGCTTTGATCCTCAAATCTCAGCCTCCTGAGTAGCTAGGATTGCATTCGAGAGCCAGCACCTGGCTAATAGTAACATGTCTTTCCTTCTTTTTGTAGGGGGTGTGTCGTTGTGGAGCTTTAATGCAGGGCCTGGGCAAGGTCCCTGGGCTCTCTTGTGCAAGAATAGTGCTCTACCACTTTGAGCCACAACTCCCCTTCTATCGTTCTGGTGGTTAATTGGAAAAAAGAGTCTCACGGATTTTACTGCCTGCACAGGCTTCAAACATAGATCTTCAGATTAGGATTACAAGCATGAGCCACTGGTTTAATAGTAACATTCTTTTTTGTTTGTTTTGTTGGTCTTGTGGCTTGAACTCTGGTGCTGTCCCTCAGCTCTTCAGCTCAAGGCAAGTGCTCTACCACTTGAGCCACAGCACCACTTCCGGTTTTCTAGTGGTTTATTGGAGATCAGAGTCTCACAGACTTTCCTGCCTGGGCTGGCTTTGAACCATGATCCTCAGATCTCAGCCTTCTGAGTAGCTAGGATTACAGGCTGAGCCACTGGCACCCAGCAATAGTAACATTCTTTAAACTAGAAGTGAGAGAATGGTAAGGCTGAGACTGAAGATATTACATGAGCATTTAAGTGACAACATCCTCTCTACCAAAATAAGGGCATTCTAGTATTTGAGTGAAAATTTTAGATTGATGAAACTTGAGAGGTCTTCATCTCATAGACGTGTGGGTGGGCAAGGAAGCCACAAGCCACAGTGGTGCCATGAGCTGTGGGAACAGGAAGGGTCATAAACATTACTGAGGACACGTTACATAGATAGCAAGCACTTTTTCTCCTGAAATAACCCAATTTCCATAAGGAGGTTTCTGAAAGCTTGATAAAATTGATTTGATTTTGGAGCTGCTGAGAAATAACTGTAGGAATAACAGAAGATGGGTCAAAAGGTCTCAGTGCATTAAAAATCCTCATCTAAGCTGGGTGCCGGTGGCTCAGGCCTGTAATCTTAGATACTCAGGAGGCTGAGATCTAAGGATCACGGTTCAAAGCCAGTCCAGGCAGGAAAGGTCTGTGAGACTCTTATCTCCAGTGAACCACTCAGAAAACCGAAGTGGCACTGTAGCTCAAGTGGTAGAGCCAAGGTCCAGAGTTCAGGCCCCATGACCGACAAAAAAAAAAAAAATCCTCATCAGAATGTTACTATATTTTCTTCCGTTAGCAGCGAGTTGAAACAAAAATCAACAGAAGAAAACTAAGTAGTATCCTAAAACATTGTAATATCACTCCATCTTTGGCTGGCAGTTACATGCTTTATGTCTAGCTCACCTTTAAGGTTGATCACTGTTAGTCACCTGTTTTTCAGTGTCTGTGCTGACTGAATTCCCCATCTAAAACGTGTGTCCTTCATCAGGTTCATTATGGTGCCAAGTGGTAACATGGGAGTGTTTGACCCAACAGAGATACACAACCGAGGGCAGCTAAAGTCACATATGAAAGAGGCAATGATCAAGCTCGGTTTCCACTTGCTCTGTTTCTTCATGTATCTTTATAGGTGAGTATAAAGTTCCCTGACATCTTCCCAGATGCTATGTCGTCTATCCACTAGTATGTATTTACTGGGTGACGGCTGATGTCAGGACACTGAAAGGTACTTTAGGTGACACAAAAGGAGCTAGCTGTGAAGAACCCTTTATACAGAAAGCCTGCAGCTTGCCAATTTCAACTCTGAAGTGTTACAAAAAACATGAAAGTGGAGGTGCCTGAGCCAGGCACAGTGGCTCCTGCCTGTCATCCTTGCCACTCAGGAGGCTGAGATTGAAGCATCGCTCTGCAAAGCCAGCCACGGCAGCAAAGGCCCTGAGACTTTCTTTTTGGACAGCGTCACCTCTTCCCTCATTTTTCCCCAGTTTTTCCCTCCTGTCCCTGCTCCAAAGTTAATTTTCAGCATAGTCAGCTTTGTCTAGTGAGTACAGGTCTGATCATCTTGTACTCAAAGGAATATTCGTGTGGCTCAAGGATGCAAGTCTGACACATCAGATACTGAGGGACAAATTTTATTGTAGAGGTTGAAGGCTTACAGTTACATAAGTAATTAGTACATTTCTTTTGAACAGGGTCACCCCTTCCCTCATTTTCTCCCAGTTTTTCTCCTCCTGGCGTCTCCCCCTCCCCATGTTGTACAGTTCATTTCCAACACAGTGTCTAGTGAGTACCACTGCTGAACTGGTTCGCCTTTTGCCCACTGATTCTATGCTTCCCTTTCCCCTGGGGGTGTTTCTAACATCTGTACCGTTGGTTTCTTTCCACAGCATGATTTTAGCTTTGATAAATGACTGAGGGTGCAGAAGCTACGGTTGAAGTCAACCCACACTACACAACATCTTTAGAACTGTAACCATACCAGTATATATTTTCGTCTTTGAACAAAATACCTATTTTTGCTGTATTTTTACCATATAAAGTATTTGAAAAACATGAATTGAGTTTTTATAAATTTCTGGTTCTCAACTTTAATCTGAACCCCAGCATATGAAGTTATTTCTGTATCACAAACTGTATAGTGAAAATGGTAGTGTGTGTAGTAGTAGTAGGCACATGTGCCAACCTTGCTTGCCAAAGAAAGAATACATCTGAAAGGGACACTTAGTAGATGAGACGGGCTGTCTTGAAGTCAGACCACGGAACAATGTATTAATGTGCACAAAAGAAAGACAATTGAGCCGGGTACTGGTGGCTCACACCTGTGATCCTAGCTACTCAGGAGGCTGAGATCTGAGGATAGCTGTTCAAAGCCAGCTCCAGAGCCAGCCCAGGAAGAAAAGTCAGTGAGCCTCTTACCCCAAAGAAACACCAGAAAACTAGAAGTGGTGCTGTGGCTCACGTGGTAGAGCACTTGCCTTGAGCTGAAGGGCTCAGGGACAGCGCCCAGGCCCAGACTTCAAGCCCCATGACTGACAAAAAGAAGAGAAAATTACCCTTTTTGCCAATGTTGCGGCAACTTTGTGTTACTGTAGTTTAAGGATTTATGGAAATGTTAGCTAAGTCTTAACACAAGAAGGTTATACAAAAAAATGACCCCCCCACACACATATATACACACATATATATAATTCATTGCAGTCTTTGTGAATCTTTTCAAGCCATTTGTCCAGGTACAATGTAATTCCTGCTTATAGAAAGGAAAATAAAATTTAAAAACAAGATTTTTATCATGAGCTTTCATTTAAAAACCAGTACACGTCCACAGTCACCTCTAAGGCTAATTCTATTCTGGCTCTGGCCAGGTCTTAGTTTTGTAATTTTAAAAGTCTCGGGACTTTGCTGCCTGGGGTAGCTTGGAGCCATCATCCTCAGATCTCAGTCCCGTGAGTAGCTAGGATTGCAGAAGGGAGCCACCAGTACTCAGCTGATGTTTTAATAGGTTTAGAGATTTGGTAAAGATGATACCAATTGGAATCATGATGTGGCTCAGTTAAGTGTCCATTAAAAAAGCGCATTAGGGGGCTAGAAAGGTGGCTCGGTGGTAGAGTGCTTGCCTTGCACGCAGGAGGCCCTGGGTTCGATTCCTGAGCACCACATGAGCAGAAAAAGCTGGAAGTGGTGCTATGGCTCAATTGGTAGAGCACTATCCTTGAGCTGAAGAGCTGACGGACAGTGCCCAGACCCAGAGTTCAGGCCCCAAAACTGACAAAAACAAAAAAATGTGTTAGTAATGCTCTGCTTAATGCTGAGATTAACCCTTCTGCATTGACCAGTGAGTTGTGAGAACCAATACAAGCCATTTCATATGCACAGCAGAACCTAACCCTCAGTTCCTCAGAGCTTTATTTGTAAACTTGCCCTTGATGAAAACACTGAATTTCTTCAGCTATGTTTTCTGGTTCTTCCAGTGTGAAGGTGAACTTCAAAAATCATTCCAAGTCCTGATTTGTGTCTTTAGTGTTATCTTCGGCTTTGGTATTTAGGCAAAGGATCACTTTGACAGCATCCGAAGAGGTAGAATTAGGTGGCTAATCAAAGTGTGAGGTCCTTCTAAAGGTTAAATGCTGATAATGACCTTTGGGGCCTGGATTGGCTCTAGCCTCAGACAGAAGGGAGCTATTACGCTAAACTGCACATACAAATAGACCATATTTTGTATGGAAGTAGTGCCCTGGCCACACAAAGAAAATGTTAGCCAAAACTAGCTTTGTTCTCTCTCTTGGCCTCTTTGGAGTCACAGAAATTATTGGGGGGTAGTTTTGTATTGGCAGAAAAAGGGTCAAGAGGCCGCAATGAAGTTACTTCACCTGCATAGCTAAGGCTTAAAAAACAATCTCCTTAAGAGTATTTGCTGCTGGGTGCTGGTTGCTCACACCTGAACTTAGCTACTCAGGAGGCTGAGATCTGAGGATCACGGTTCAAAACCAGCTCAGACAAGAAAGTTCGTGAAGACTCTTGCCTCCAATTAACCAACCAGAAAATAGGAAGTGGTATTGTGGCTCAAGTGGTAGATTCCTAGCTTTGAGCTGAAGAGCTGTCTCAGCACCCAGGCCCAGAGTTCAAATCCCACGACGGACCAAAAAAAAACAAAAAAAAAATTTGTTTTCCCAGCAAACTAGCTCCAGGTCCCAGTAGTGTATTTATGGTTCTCACTATTCAATAAAATTTTCCTTCAATGGCTTTGGTGTCTGACAAATCTCACTAAAAAAAGACTTTACATTCCTATACCTACACATAGGGATATAAGTAAAATAAATGTCCCCTTCCCCCAACATTGAGGTGTACTTACTAGGGAAAAGTTCAGATATTTTTTCCTAAAGAATGAAGGGGTTTTTTCCCCCTATCAGAAGTAGGTTTTTAACTTTCAGAGGCTTTTTGTTGTGATATAAAATCATCAGACCAGTTTTTTAGCTTAGAAAAAGATAACTTACTCAGGCAACACGTAGATTTATTTGGTCAGTTGTGAGGCTCACTGAACTTAGGACCTGGGCACTGTCCATGATGTTTCTCACTCAAGGGTAATACTCTACCACTTTGAGCCACAGCATTTTCTGAGTTTACTGGAGATGTCTCATGAAACTAACTGGCTGGGTTGGCTTTGAACCATAATCCTCAGATCTCAACCTCATGAGTAGGAGCACAGGTGTGAGCCACCATCATGTGGCTCCATTTGCTTAAGTTCTGTGTTTTTGTGCCCTTAATAGGACTTGAAATTAGGCCTTGTGTGATGTCCATTTGCTCTTTAACTCAAGGCTAATGCTGTACCTCTTGGGCCACAGCTGCACTCCAGCTTTCTACTGGTTAATGGAAGGTTAAGTCTTACACTTTCCTACATAGAATGGCTTTGAACCATTCATGATCCTCAGATCTTAGCCTCCGGAGCAGCTAGGATTACAGGCAGCCATCAGCATTGAGCTTGATTTAAAAATTTTTATTTCCGTCTATGGCCATATCATCCTGAATGTGCTCAATCTCATCTGATCTTAGAAATTAAAATTGTATTTCTATCACTACGGATTGAACCCACATCCTGCACATTCCAAGCATGTACTGTTACCAGAGGTGAACTTGTAACCCTATTCAAATCAGGTAGATGCAGACCCCAGAGTGATGCTGGATGGAACTTAGCCAACCTTCCAATAGCTGCTATCTTAGAAGCAAGGTCTATGAAAACCTGTCCCCTTCTTGGGTAGTGGCCAGAGGAAGCTGTAAACCTCCAGTCAGTAGTATGAAGAAGAGGCTGCTCAAGGCGCATTAAGAATCTGGTGCCCCTATTTCATTTGATGCCTTCCACCGTTTACATTTGAACTTCCTGCTGTAATAATTCAGATGGGGAAAATGTTTCTTTTCTTTTTTTCTTAGAAGCATAAGAACTTACTGAATTCAAATGTTTTTTTGTTTGTTTTTTTGTCGGTTGTGGGGGCTGAACTCTGGGCCTGGGCGCTGCCCCTTAGCTCTTAGCTCAAGGCTAGCACTCTACCACTTGAGCCACAGCACCACTTCCAGCCTTTTCTGTATATGTGGTGCTAAGGAATCGAACCCAGGGCATCAGGCATGCAAGGCAAGCGCTCTACCACTGAGCCACCTTCCCAGCCTCAAATGAGTTTTTAAAGAACTGCAAACACCCTCTAAGGAAATCTTTAGAAAAGTACAAATTCTATTGATGAAAGATTTCCAAATTGGTACTACATTTTCTCTACTAGTCAACATATCCAGTGCCTAAATATACAGGTCGGATGCAGTAATATCTTGGAACAAAAAAGGGCAACTATCTTCTCCTTTTAAGGGGCAACACTCCTAAAATTTTGCTAAACTTATCCACACTTGCTCAATAGCCTTGTAGACATCCAAGCAGGTTAGGCATTGCTTCTTGGGATTCCATTCCATAAACCATGGACAAATACACGGAAGTCAGGCCCAGCACACCAGTTCTTCATGGTAGATGTACAGAATGGATACTAGGGAGATGTAATACACCAATAATAACTTGTTCATTATGTTTATTGGATTGAAAGAAAGGGGATACAAATGACTGGGTAAGTGTTGTGCACTGACATGGAAAAAGTATAATAAAAAAAGTATCAGTAGAGCAAATCAAAATTAATGTACTTCAAAACAAAAGCTTTAAAAACATTTAATATACCACACATTTGTAAAAGTCAACAAAGTGTCTTGTAAATAATTAGTAGGGCAAGTGAAAATAAATATGAGACCTGAAGTTTTTATACTTAAATGAGATAAAGCAAAGAAACTTAAACTAAATATAATCTGAGGCAGTTAAAAAAACAGAACCTCAAAATTTAAGAACACAATCCTCTGAAACATTTCATCAGTCCATAGCAAATAGTTTTTACATATCAAAAGCTCTAAGCACTAGTTCCACCACAATGCCATGTAAATCTTGACAATTTAGAAATCTTGGGAGATCAACACTGACTCCTTGATCTCTGCTTGGTTTCTAAGTACATACATGCTTTTGTGGATCTATATTCCCCTCACCACACACGTTTTCAAGGAGTCAATTATTTTTCCCATCTGTGCCTAAGAATGTTATGACTCAGTTCTAGCACACTGACATGAAAATGACTTTAAGATAGGGATGCAATTTCAATCTTATAAAAATATACGAGTATTAACCAAGCCTTAACAGAGGGCACTTCGCGTGTGCACAAGACTTTTAGTAAAATCAACCAAACCTAGAACAGCCATTTCCAGGGCTTAGGTATTAAATACTCTCTCCCACACTTTATACAACACACACACACACACACACACACACACACACACACACACACACACACGTTTTTACACTATTAGTTTCATTAAATCCAGTGTATCTGGATTAAGTAGGTAGGGACTGGGTTTTATAGTTTTCATTTGCAACTATAGGGTAGCTACTATAATAATAGCTTAACACTGAAAATTTTCAATTAAGTTCACCCTGTTCTTAGAAAGTGTCTAAGTGTGAATGAAAATTCACTTCTTTTAAAGTCTGCAAATTGTGTTAAATACGGTTCTGAGATGGATATGTTTTGGGCAGCAACCAAAAAGGAGAGTTGCTGAAGTCTGAGAGATACAAGTAAAACTAAGTAAAAATATTTATACATTTTAGAGATGGGACAAAAAAAGGATACTAAGACAAACATCTTCTGTTCTCCCACTGAAGGGCAGCCATTCTTCTTCTGTGAAAAAACTGACATGGATATGCTCCCTTTCAAGAGATGTAAGATGCATTTGCCCACTGTGAGACAGAGGTGATAGGGCCAGTTCTTGTTTGCAGAAACAAACACCCTAAAAAAGAAAATTTCAAGATGGGGAGGAGGGGTGGGGAAAAAAGGGTTTTCTATTAATGCCATTCTAGAGGCAGAACACTAATAAAACTCACTGTACCACTACTTGTTTTTATTTAGAGTAAGAAAATATTGACAATATTGGTTTCTTTTCAACTTGGAATCCCTTTTTACTCTCCCACCTGATGAACCAGGCTCATTTGTGGACGTCTGCAAATAAAACCTTCTGTGTCCAAACTACTTACCTGGGTTAATATAACTCATTTACCTGGCCAATAAGAGGAACAGAAATGTAGTTGGCATAAATACATAACCAAAACTAGGTAAGCCATTATCCCTTCCAATCCCCACTTATTCTTTACCACCCACACACCAACCTCCGTAATAACCAAATCCAACATTTTACCATTAATAACCACTTATTTAACAGGAAGAAGACATTTAATTTCATTCTTGCTGTAGCCCTTATTCATTGCATAACCAAAAAAAAAAAAAAAAATTTTAAATACATGGAAATAAACCTACTAACCTGAATTTTGGAGCCAAAAATTCTCCACTCTATTTTGATCTATGTGCAAAAAGTATTAGTACTTTTCAACTTATACATTTGTATCTTGTGGATGGCTTGATAGAAACCCTCTTAAGTCTACTATATAATCTAAAAGCATTTTCAATTTCAACTAATAGCTATGGACTAGAAAATCCTGCCACTGGGTTTATACTATTCCATAAAATCCTGGGTTTCTCCAATCGTCTTTTTTCCTTTTTTTTGTCCCACCTCCCTATCACAACCACAGCAAATGTATGAAACAGACCTCGACAGCAAATTGGCACATCAATATGCCAGTATACACAGGAGGCTGCCAGTTATGACAGACCTAGGGAGCAAACTCACCTAGCTGCTATGGAAACCTTTGCATAATTGTTACTCCATTTAGTAAGAGCTATGTTCTTTTCTCCCCCTTTTTTATATTGCACCTCAAAAGACCTCTGAAAACACAGGCCGAAGGGTGTCTGGCTGCAGTGGAATCTGACAAATCTCAGCCAATGTTACACGTGCAGGGTAGCACACTAACCAAGTTTGTAAACAGCCGTGGAGATTCTATGCTCACATTTTGTTAAGGGTGTTACTATAGAGATGGGTGCATTAATGGCTTCAGGGTTTATACAAATTACTTAAAATATGGTTCTAACTGTACTGAGGTAAAGAGAAGTTGCCACTTAATTATATACAGTTGTCAATGAAGATTTTTATTCAAGCTTAAAGTAAAAAGTAATTTTAGTCAAGAAAAATGAAGTACCAGATAAACGGTAACATAGTTATTTTAACTCAGGAGTATCAAAACAGGAATTCTTTGATTCTAGTAGGTGGTGGTCTCTGCAAAATAATCTTAATGAAATCATGTACACACCAATTTGATAAAATAAATCTATGACCTGTCTTTTGTTACCAGGGGGTCTTGAGAGAATACATGCTGTTTTAAGGCCAAATGTGTTTTCATTCTTCTCCCCTTCCCTGACACATTCCTGCCCCCTGCTGCCACCCCTCCCTTCCACCCCACAATGGAAGAATTCCTGAATCCAAGCCTTTTTCTTCTTTGTGGGTACTGAAGGGTGTTGTCATGGTGATGTATACCAGACTGGGAAAGGCCTAAAGAGGAACTGGGTGTGAGTTTTTTCTCCACTGGGATCTTAGCTTTGGGGTTATTCCCATTCCTTTTTCCAGTACAACAACGATGTCCCCCTACTTTCCTCTGCTTAAAGAACAATTTCAAGGGAGGCCAAGTGTGCTTTACTCCGCTGTTAGGGTTTAAAAGCACAATGTGCACATCAGGCTTTTGGATTATCTTAAATGTGAAATTCTCAAAATTAAAACTTTTTTCCCATGGAAGAACCTTTCCTAAAAGGGGAGGAGAGACTGTCCACAGCACCAGTTTGAATGAGGTTTAGTATGGCAACATCAGAAAAGCTGAGAAGGAACCTATTATGTCCCTAACATGTCAAGGTACCGAGGGCAGTTAGAAGTAACTATGAGGTTTTAGTCCCAGTTTATTTGTAACCTGCTGACTTCAAGTTGTTGTGAGTCTCCAAAGTGGTTTAACCTGCTGATTTCTACTCCTGCTGTACCCTACCAGTATGGGTTCCCAAGTGAACATCCTGGAACAAATGTGGAAAGCCTGCACGGATGACTTGCTACCTTATGTTGGCAGATTTAAAACTAGTTTTTGAATCTTGAGTTTCTTCAGCGTCAGATATCAATGTTCCTTCATGATAAAGCAAAGTGTGTGAGTGAGTACCCTCAAAGTGTTACTGACTTTGCTGTACATGTCCTTCAAGCACTGTTGTGACGGTCTGTCACGTGGTACACAGAAGAGCCATCAGCTTTGCTGTGTATCTAAGTCATAGAGGAAAACTTTTTAAGCTGGTTTAGATTCCAAATGTATACAAATGAAGTCACTTTAATCCTATAAATACTTCTTAATTTATTTTTAAAAAATTGTGCTGTTAACCCTTTTTATGGGCAACAAGCTATGTGAAAAGTACAAAACTTTTTGTCAAATGTCATATTGAGAGTGCTTTTGACATAGTTCACTGGTTTGTCATCTGGATCAGTATATACTGCGCAACGGGCAAGGCTAAAATCCATGAACCAAGCTGCAAAGATCTCAAGCTAAATAAGGCGGAGAGATTTGGAAAAACAAAAGAAGGAAATTCTTTCCTATCCAATGTATACTCTTCAGACTAATGCACTCTTTCTATCAAGCCTTCTAAACTGTTAAATAAAGTTTTCCAAACAAGCATTTAAACTTCATTACACAGAAGAGCAACAAGAATGGTATCCTGCCAGACAAAAGGCAGGAGGGAAAAAATATATATATATACTGAGTTCAATGGGTAAGCCTGGATGTAGCATAGTTCTTCACAACCGATGGGGGGAGAATTCAACATGGCGTCCAACAACGTTCTAACGACGTGCTTCATTTCAACTGGTTACTATGAAGCAAGGTGTACGTGTTTGGCCCCAATCGGGCTTCAGAAATGGTTCTGTTTTCATGACGAGCATGTCTGTCCAGCTATCAATCATGTTTGTTTGCACCAAATCCCAAGCCATTAAAATACGACTAATTTTAAGTTAAACAGAAGTCGTCTGCTCCAAATTTGCCATCAACTATCCATGCTACTGCATTCCTCTGAATGGAGATAAGATGAAATGTTCATAAGGGGAAAGAGGAAGAAGGAAAGAAAAAAAAGGAACCAGTTAGAAAGTCAAAATCAGTGTCAAAACATCACAAAATACACTGGCAACAATCATTAAAATACCTGGTTTCTTAGGTTACTTATTACATAATAACATATTAATGTTATATATTACTCATGATTATGTTGAATAAGAGAAAAATCAAGTGAGTAATTATTTTAGAATTTCCTAATTTTTAAATCAACCTGCTTCTTTCAGTTGCTCAGCTTCAAAATCTGCAGGATTTCTTTTGTGTGTGTCTGTGCATAAATCAACTTTTTTGAGATAACTTACTGAAATGTCTAACTCAATGGTGTTTAGTGCATTCACAGAATTGTACACCCATCAACACAGTTCCAGATCACTTTCATTATCCATGAGTCACACACAGATTCCATAAGAAGACACTGCTCTGTGTAGAGAACTACTTTAGGTCTCTTCTTCAAGTGGTACTGCAGCATTAGACCTTTTGTATCTGGCATCTTTCACTGTTTTAGAAGTTCATCTACATTGTGTAGCTTGTAAAAACAATTCTATTTCATCTACCATTATAAGCAAATCATCATCTAAATACCTTATATACTCTCTTTTAAAGTTGTCAAATGAAATATTTAAATGATTACAGCATCTTATAGATTTTTAATGTTATTTAACTTTCCAAAATTTCTAAACAGGTATAACTTTTAATTAGAAGTCAATATTTTCACAGTATGTAAAGATTCTAGAAGATACAAATGATATACAGCTGAAGGACTGGTTACATAGACTTCTTTTTGGATAAAGTAGTAGAACATAACCTAACATGAGCCAGTCCCTGAGTTCAAACTGTAGTAACACCAAAAAAATTTTTATAGTTTAAAGTTCATATGAAAGCATCATTTTCTTAGGACCATGACTATGTTGGTGTGGCATAAGCCAAAGAAAATGAAACTGGCTGGCCCACCAGAGGTATCTACATCAAAGTCACTAAGTGTAAGGGTGAATAATTCAGTACACATCAATGGAGGCATAAAGGTTCTTTTATGGGTAAATCTGTAATTATAAAGAGGGCATTTTCCTGCTTGCTCAAATCAGTTCTGCATACTTCAAGAATGAACTTCAGAATGACTAATTAGAAAAGCACAAATACAGTTGTAGATCTATGACTCAGAGAGTAGGACCTGAAATCTAAACAGGACAATAAAAAGTATAGGGCTAGGAAGGTGGCTCAGTGGTAGAGCGCCTGCCTTGCATGTATGAGGCCCTGGGTTCGATTCCTCAGCACCACATAAGCAAAAAGAAAAAAGCTGGAAGTGGCGCTGTGGCTCAAGTGGTGGAGCGCTAGCCTTGAGCTGAAGAGCTGAGGGACAGCGCCCAGGCCCAGAGTTCAGACCCTATGACCGGACCCCCCCCCCCCAAAAAAAAAAAAGAAAATAGGCTTTGCATGCTTGTAATCCTAGCTACTCAAGATGTTAAGCTCTCAAGGACTGAGATCTGAAGACAGGATACAAAGTCTGTGGGGATCCCATCTCTAAAATAATTAGCAAAAGAAAAAAAGCTGAACTGAAGGTATGTTGAATTGGTAGTGTACAAGGTGAGCAAGTGAATGGCTGTGAGCTCACCAGGAAAAAAAAAAAAGCCTGGCATCAATGGCTCATGCCTGTAATCTTATCAATTCAAGAGGCTGAGCAAAAAAGCCCAGAACAGTACACCAGGCCCTAATTTCAAGCCTGTCATCCTAGTTACTCAGCAGCCTGAGATCTGAGGATTAGGGTCAAAGCCAGCCCACGCAGGGAAGTCTGAGGCTCTTATCTGCAATTAATCACAGGAAAAGCAGCAAGTGGTGCTGTGTCTCAAGTGGTAGAGTGCTAGCTTTGAGCAAAAGGAGTTTAGGAACAGCACCTAGGCCCTGAGTTCAAGCCCTAGGATGAACAAAGAACAACAACAACAAAAAAATTACCTTCCTCTCTCCTTTGTACCAGTACTGGGGCTTGAAGTCAGGGACTGGAGCTCTACCCTTTAAGCCACAGCCCTACTTGCAAATTTTGATGGTTAATTGGAGATTAATTTCATAGACTTTCCTACCCAGGCTGACTTTGAACCACAATTCTCAGATCTTAGCCTCCCAAGTAGCTACGATTACTGGTGTGAGCCACTGGCTCTTCCAGTGGTAGATTTAGTTGTAGTGTAATCTACAAATATAAAAAGACTCTTCAAACTTCAGAATCCTTCAACAGCAGCTCTCCCTCCTTTTTTTGTTGGTGCTAGAGGGGTTTGAACTCTGGGTCGTGTGGCTTTTGATAGCTCCCTTGTCCAGTTGAGCCCTACCTCTGAGCCCTGCTTTTTGCTAGTTAAATGAAGAGTGGAGACTAAAACAGACCCCTCTGCCTGGGCTGGCCCTGAACCAAGACCCTGGCTTCAGCCCCTGAGTAGCTAAATTCACAGGCTTCTCAAGCTTTTTGTCTGTCTCTCGCCACACACCCCCTGCCAAGCCCTACACAAGATGGGCCACCAAGACCCAAGGAGGGGAAAAAAACAGGAGAACCATAAATGTTACTTGGATGAATTCCTTTCCACCTAGAGTTTGTTAACTTGGGAAGAACCATTTTTCTTACAAAAATATTTAAGCAGGGTGCCAGTGGCTGACCCCTGTAATAATCCTAGCTACTCAGGAGGCTGAGATAATGATAATTAAGTGGGACGCAATGGCCAAAATGATTCACTTACCTGTTTTTCTAGGTACATTTTATTCTATGTGAAAGAGTAAGTCATTTACATGGAATTCTCCCGACCGCTACTCTCCGGTGTGGGTGCCATGTCCTTACATACCACTTTGCAACCTCAGGCCTCAGCCGTGGAGACCCTGCCGTGCTCACTACGCTTGCCATGCATGTGTTACTTCTCCACCTATGTGAACGAGGGTGAAAATGCTACTCTGGGTGGGTGTGGGACAAACACCTACCAGCCCAGCCCTGGGCAGTCTGAGAAAGGAGGACGGCAGTTTGAGGCAGACTGGGCTGCCCAGTGAGACCTTTCTCAAAAAAGGGGAAAATATCTTCTCTGTGAAGATTTTGAGACATGAAGGGCTTAGCTGTGTGGCTAAGGGTAACGTAGAGAATCTCTGTTCCTTTCTCTTTTCCTGACTGGCCAGTAATGTGCTATGTGTGCAGTACTAACCATCTAAAGTTCACCAGACTATATACTGGTGTTTTTTTGGTATATAAAAGATTTTGTGGGTCTGGGAAGGTGGCTCAGTGGTAGAGCGCTTGCCTTGCATGCCTAAGGCCCTGGGTTCGATTCCTCAGCACCATGTAAGCAAAAAGAAAAAAGCTGGAAGTGGCACTGTGGCTCAAGTGGTAGAGTGCTAGCCTTGAGCTGAAGAGCTGAGGGACAGTGCCCAGGCCCAGAGTTCAGGCCCCATGACCAGACCCAAAAAAAAAAAAAAAACCACAAAAAACATTTTGTGCAATATGAGATTCAAGGCTGGGGAAGTGGTCAAGTGTTTGCTAGTGGGCATGAAGCCCTGGGTTCAATTCCTCAGTACCACATAAACAGAAAAGGCCAGAAGTGGTGCTGTAGCTCAAGTGGTAGAGTGCTGGCCTTGGGCAAAAGAAGCTCAGGAACAATGTCTAGGCCCTGCGTTCAAGACCTAGGACTGGCAAAAGCAAAAACAAAAACCAGACATTTAGGTATGGTAAAGATTTTCAGCAAGATTTTTTTGTGTGTATGCCGGTCCTGGAGTTTTAATTCAGGGCTTGGATGCTATCCCTGAGCTGGTTTTTGTGCCACACTAACGTTCTGCCACTTGACCCACAGATCCACTTTAGGCTTTTTTTTGGCCTGGGTGCGGTCCCTCAGCTCTTCAGCTCAAGACTAGCGCTCTACTACTTGAGCCACAATGGCACTTCCAGCTTTTTCTGTGTACGTGGTGCTGAGGAATTGAACCCAGGGCCTCATGCATGCAAGGCAAGCACTCTACCACTGAGCCACCTTCCCAGCTCTTTAGGCTTTTTTCAAGAGGCTTATTGAAGGTAAGAGTCTCATGGACTTTCCTGCCATGCCATGATTCCTTGGTACCTCAATGCTCAGATCTCAGCCTTCTGAGTAGCTACGATTATAGGTGTGGGACACCAGCAGCCAGCTGCAGTAAGATTTTTGTATTTTTCAGTAACAGTACTGTTGCTAAATAGATGTAAACGAGGTAGAGACATTCCAGTTTATTCTTTTCACTGACTTCCTTCTCAAGGCAATAGATACTTGACAGACCTTAGGTTGGTCTTCAAACTTTTCACTGAGTGACAAAGAGTAAGAATAAAAAAGAAAATGCATCACACTTCAAACTTTGTTAGAAAGTCCTGTAACTTCACAGTAAGCAAAGCCCTGTTCCACTGGGAGGAAGCACAGGACACTGCACGGGCCTTACCTTCGATATTCTGGTGGTCTACAAAAGGTGCTGGTCCCCATATTCTCACAGTGCCGTCATCGGAGGCACTAGCCATCATGGACGGGACCTGTGGGTTCCAGCTCACGCAGTTGACTGTGCGAGTGTGCCCGGTCAGCTCTGCGATGGGCAGCTCACTTCGCCGGTGCCAGATGTAGACCTTGTGATCTGACAACACAGTAATTCGGAGAGGAGTGAAGAGCAGCTTTCCATAAAAAAGGTCAATCTCAAATGACCGTTTGCAGAACAGAAAGAAACGTTTTTAATGACCAGGACTTAAGGGAGAACAGCTTAAAAAACTAACGCTATATGAAAAGCCATGAATACACATGGTGATCATGTTTCAATACTGCCAAAATGTGACTAGTGTACCCAGTGCCCTTAACTGAGGACATCACCTTGAGGTGGGTGCCACACCACTCTATGCTGAATGGATAGTACTGAAGTAAAGTGACATATTCCTGGTTGTCAGTTCAGTTCTAGGCAGTTATCTCCTACTGACGTCCCTACTACAGCTTCTTAGATTATAATTTCATGTAGCTTAGTTTCTTTGTGATAAGCTAAATTTTTTTTTTGGGGGGGGGCAGTCCTGAGGCTTGAACTCAGGGCCTGGGCATTGTCCCTGGGCTTCTTTTGCTCAAGGCTAGTGCTCTACCATTTGAGCCACAATGCCACTTACCTTCTGCTTATGTGGTGCTGAGGAATTTAATCCAGGGCTTCATAAATGCTCAGCAAGCACTCGACCATTGAGCCATACCCCCAGCCCAGTAATGAACTAATCTCTTTTTTTCTGGCCGTGCAGATGTGGAGCTTGAACTCAGGGCCTAGGCTCTTCAGCTCAAGGCTAGCACTCTACCACCTGAGCCACAGAGCCAATTCCAGTTTTCTGGTGGTTAACTGGAGATCAGAGTCTCATGAATGTTCTGGCCCGGCTGGCTTTGAATCACAGTCCTCAGATCTTAGCCGCCTGAGTAGCTAGAATTACAGGTATGTGCCACCAGCACCTGGCTGATAAGCTAATCTGACCACACTGTGCAGAGCGGAAATTCAAAGCATGTGGTGCAGAACTAGAATATCTCTAAGACCCTACGGAAATGCATGGTGGATGTGCTGCTGAGGGCATTAGAGATTGTGTCCTGGGTAAACCTGACGAAGTTTAGTAGTCAACAGTTTATGTGATATGATGGGGGGGGGGGGGGGGGGGGGGGGTGGCCAGGGAGATGGTGGTAAAAGCTAAATGATAGTAAATTTGTCTTTCTTAGAATCTGTCTGTCAAAGAAAGACAAATTTACTATCTTTTAGGTCCAATTTTTTTGGTATGTCATGGGGCTTGAACTCAAGGCCTGGGTTCTGTCCCTGAGATTTTGGGTTTTTTTTTTTTGCTCAAGGTCAGTCAGTTCTCAACCACTGAGCCACAGCGGGATTTCTAGTTTTCTGGTGGTTAATTGGAAATAAAGAGTCTCATGGACTTCCAGTGAAGGTTGGCATCAAACCATGATCCATAGATCTCAGCCTCCTGAGTAGTTAGGCATGAGCCATTGGCACCCAACAAGTTCAGTTTTTCTATGTATTCCCAGTAAAAAAGCCTATTTATACATATTGGGGGAAGAGAGGAGGTTTCCTAGTTACTGTTATGCATTTGCAGATTTGGTAGAATCTTTAACAATGGCACCTTGGGAAGGATAAACCCTGGGCCAGAGCTCTTCCACGTCATGTGAGTGCTTACAGCGGTCTCACCTTCATCCCTACACAGAATGCACAGTTTGGTCTTATTATTCATCAAGGTTATTTCTTACTTTGGGCTTAGAAGATGTGTGGGGTCACTAGAGATACTGATAGCCATTTATATTATTTTGTTTTGGTGCCAGTAGTGTGACTTGAACTCAGAACATTGAGCTCCCCACTGGCTTTTCCCCTCAAGGGTAATGTGCCAGCACTTGAGCCACAGCTTCACTTCCAGATTTTTGGTAGCTAATTGGCAACAAGCCTTTCTCTGCTTGGTATACTTGGGCTGGCTTTGAATTGGGATCTCAGATCTCAGCCTCCAGAGTAGATAGGGTTACAGGCGTGAGCCACTGATGCTCAGATGGCACTTAATGTTACCTTGGAATATTTATAAAACACGATTAAAAGGTAAGAAAAAAATCTGTATCTGTTACACTGACTTTAAGCAAGTATCTCCCAAGAGGACAGCTTTTAGGCCAGAGAATAAATTTGTTTAAAAGGCCACTTTAGTGGGGACAATTCAGTTAATTTCAAGTTTTCTGAAACTATTAGAATTATCAAATTGAATCATTCTAAATAGTTAATTGTTTAGGTTCAGATAAAACAAATATTACAATTAACTTTGTTTATAGAAATTTCCAACAGCTAAGAATTACAAATACTATGAAAAAGCAAACATACGAAAGCACAATGATTTAACTACCTCCTGATTGATTCATGGTCAGGACAGGCACTACGGTCCTCAGCAAGGTTAGGACAGTTCAGTGGTGAGGCCTTTACCAGGACACTCTGGGCCTTGGGCTCAATCTACAACATTGAAAAATAAAAACGCCAGGCACCAGTAGCTCATACCTGTCATCCTACCTACTCAGGAGGCTGAGACCTGAGGATAACGGTTCAAAGACAGCCCAGGAAGGAAAGTCTGCAATAAACCACCAGAAAGCCAGAAGTGGTACTATGGCTTCAGTGGTAGAGCACTGGCCTTGAGCTGAAGAGCTAAGCTGAGGGACAGTGCCCAGGCCCAGAGTCCAAGCCACATGACCGATCCGAAAGAAAGAAAGGAAGAAAGAAAGAAAGAAAGAAAGAAAAACACAAGCAGCATTCAAGCCTCAAAAAAAGGAGGGAGAGGGGATGGGGAAGTGGCTCAGTGGTAGAGCGCTTGCCTTGCATGCCTGAGGCCCTGGGTTCAATTCCTCAGCACCACATAAGCAAAAAGAAAAAAGCTGGAAGTGGCGCTGTGGCTCAAGTGGTAGAGCGCTAGCCTTGAGCTGAAGAGCTGAGGGACAGCGCCCAGGCCGAGAGTTCAAGCCCCACGACCGGGAAACTACCCTCCCCCCCAAAAAAAAAGGAGGGAGAAAATTAAACATATTGGGTAAATTAATAGAAAACAATACAGCCTGAGTTTGCTTAAAGAGTAACTTTAAACGCATTAATATGTGAACTTAGTCATTTACCTTCACTGCCACTAGCGATGAAGTCTTCATTATGGCCTCCAAAACATGAATGAATCGTATAAAACCCTTGAGTGACACCTTGATACTTCCTTACTAAAACTCTGTCTTGCAAGTCCCATAAATGAACTCCCTGCAGTCAGAAGAGAATATAGGCATTTATAGTTTGGTTTTTTATTCTGGGACAGGGAATGAGTACAGGATCTCACTATACACTCCTGATGGGCCTCTGCCTCCCATATGCTGGGATTATAGATGTACGCCACCACACCTGGCATAAACAAAAACTTCCAAAGCAACCTGGGAATATCCATCCCTTTACCCAATGGAGCATTTTCACTGGGATCGATTTAAGGCTGCTCCTGTGTACATTTAAGGATCAGATAGGCAATAAAACTTAAAAGATTAAGTAGAAATATTTTAAATGTACACACACGCAAAATCATAAAATATAATTTTCCTTTAAAAAATTTAAAGAATTAAACAAAATTTTAATATACATACCTGAGTAGCTACATTTAACAAAGCTAATCGGCCATTTTTTGAAATTGTAAAAGACATAATAGGATGATCTTCTTGTACTCTGTAATCAGAAAAAATAATCCGTCAAAACAAAATTAAAAATCAAGATGTTCACCTTATGAGAATATGAAGTGGTCTGGCTTACACATGACAATTTTGTGTGAGTCATTCTTATATATTTCAATTACTAAAAATGTGAATTAAGGATTCACCAACAATCCAAATCACTAACCAAAGAAAAAAATTGTTCTGAAAAGGTCATACTACATACACATTTTAGCCTAAGTCAGATAACTGCAATTTAATGGGAAAAGAAAATAGTTACATGTTCCTATCTGTGAGGTCCTCGAAGTTATACCCCCGAATCCGCTGGTGTGTATCTGATGCCAGGACAGTCTTCCCGTCACTCAAACACCAAAGGCATTGCACTCTCACCCCCTCCCAGGAGTCCAGGAGATTTCCATCCAGATCCTACACAGAAGAAAGCCACTATTACTTCTGTTACTGAGTAGTGAACAGAAAGCAAAGAACCAGGCTTGTTTTTTTGTTTTTTTGTTCTGTCAGTCATGGGGCTTGAACTCTGGGCCTGGGTGCTGTCCCTCAGCATTTCAGCTCAAGGCTAGCGCTCTACTGCTTGAGCTACAGCATCACTTCCGGTTTTCTGGTGGTTTATTGGAGACAAGAGTCTCATAATCATTCCTGCCCGGGCTGGCTTTGAACCATGATCCTCAGATCTCAGCCTCCTGAGTAGCTAGGATTACAGGCATGAGCCACCAGCGCCCGGCTTCCGGGCTGTTTTTTAATCTAATTTTTCTTTTTTTTTTTGGTCGGTCATGGGTATTGAACGGTGGGCTTGGGCGCTGTCCCTAAGCTCTTCAGCTCTAGGCAAGTGCTCTACCGCTTGAGCCACAGTGCCACTTTCACTTTTCTAGTTCTTTATTGGAGGTAAGTCTCACGACTTTCCTGCCCGGGCTGGCTTTGAACCTCGATCCTCAGATCTCAGCCTCCTGAGTAGCTAAGCATTACAGGCGTGAGCCACAGGCGTCCAGCTATCAATCTAATTTTTCTAAAAGAGCTTTTCTTTGGTGCTGGTCCTGGGGCTTGAACTCAGGTCCTGGGGTGCTGTCCCTGACCTTTTGTACTAAAGAGGAGTACTCTATCACACAAGCCACAACTCCATTTTTTGGCTTTGTGGTAGTTAACTAGAGATAAAAGCCTCATGGACTTTCCTGCCCAGGCTGGATTTGAACTGTGATCCTCAGGTCTCAGCCTACTCAGTAAGTAGAAGTGAGCCACCAGTGTCCAGCTAAAAGAGTTTATAATCATTAGAAATTAGATTCACAAGAAATTTCATTATAACTATGTATAATAGGACATAAGTAGGAGTTTTAAATCTGCCCTTCAATAGCATAATTTATAACATAAGTTAACAGGGCTGGGAAGGTGGCTCAGTGATAGAGCTCTTGCTTTGCATGCAAGAGGCCCTGGGTTCGATTCTTCAGCACCACATATGCAAAAAGAAAAAAAGCTAGAAGTGGTGCTGTGGCTCAAGTGGTAGAGCGCTAGCCTTGAACTGAAGAGCTAAGGGACAATGCCCAGGTCCAGAGTTCAGGCCCCACGACCGGACCCAAAAAAAAAAAAACAAAAACAAAACAAAAAAAAAATTAACATAAGTTACCAAAGTTATCATACATAAGTTACCAAAGTAAGCATAAGCTAAGAAACAACCTAAATCCTATGCAAAGTTTCAATTTTATGAGGAATCTTTATCATCACCATGGGTTTGTATCCATTGGTTCAACCAACCAAAAAGAAGTTTTGTTGGTACTAAACATATACACCTTTTTGTCATTTTGTCATGTTGAACTTATATAGTATTAGCAATTACAAGCAATCTAAAGGAGACTTACAAGTATATGGAGGATACATATACATTATAAAGCAAATGTTAGGTCCTGTTACATGAGACCTGAGTACCCCTGACTGTATGATGTTACAGAAGTTAGAAAAATGTTTGATAACCTTAAAAGGTAATGGACAATTTTCAAACTTCACATGCATTGTACAGATCAACACTTTCTTCAGAGTTCTCAGAGACCTTACCACGTTCACTTTACAGACTAGAAAACTGCCACGTGCTACATCCTGAAGGCTTAACTGTCTTCACAAAAACATACCTAGTAATGCTGTGCACACAACACACTGAGGTAAATACTGCACTCCACCGACTCTCAAGCCCGTTCTAGGTATGAACTTGGCTTGTACAACAGGATCATGTGCGTTAGCCTATGCTGGCCTTCAACTACAATCTCCCTACTTGTATTGCCCACATAGCTGGGATTACAGATATGAGCCACCACATTCAATTTATTCTGTTGAGATGGCTCTTGCTAAGATGGCTCTTGTTGAGATGGCTTTTGCTAGAGTTGGGATTAAACTGTGATTTTCCAACTGTAATTTGCCGACCAAGTAGCTAGGATTGCAGAAATATAATGCTGGACCTACTCCTAAAACCATCTTAAAAGACAGCGATAATGTGTTAGGGCTCATTTAATTTTAGTCTTAAAATCTGGAAGCAATGATGACACATGTAATTGAGATAGAATACTGCATTTGTAGCAAAATTTAACTCCTTACAAGACTTCTTATTGCTGCTCTACCACGTAAGCCCACAGCTCTGCTTTTGGTTTTCTGCTGGGTAACTGGGGAGATGAGTCTCCAGCTTAGGATGGTTTTAAACAGTCATCCTCAGATCTCAGCCTCCTGAGTGAACAGACACCAGCTTGATTTCTTTCTTTCTGGTCCTGGGAGCCTGGGCGCTGCCCCTGAGCTTCTTTTGCTCAAGGCTAGCACTTTACACCACTTGAGCCACAGCTCCACTTCTGCTTTGTTGGCAATTTACTGGAGGATCAGCATCTCATAGACATTCCTGCCTGGGTTGGCTTCAAAACATGATCCTCAGATCTCAGCCTCCTGAGTGGCTAAAATTACAGGTGTGAGCTACTGATGCCTGGACATTTTTTAAATAGTTCCTACAACAGAAGATTAACAGGGAGGCCCACTCACACACTGGTAGAACTGCCCACGCTGGCCTCCAGTCACAAAGCGCTTGCCGTCCGGATTCCAAGCCACACTTGTCAAACTGTCTTCGTGAGACTGGCTCATCTTTGTTCTCAGTTCTCCCGTCTATAAGAAATACAAGGTGAGACCTTTGAGACAAGCTTCTAAAGGGATTATGCACGAAAGAGAATACAGCACAAAGGGGGGTAGAGGCTGGTAGCATCGCTGAAGGAGAAGTCAGCACAGGCTGAGGGGGAGGGGGGACGGGGCAGAGAAGAGTAACCTGGATAGCTGGTTAGCTTGGAATTCCTTATAAAAGAAATGGTTTTAACTGGCATCAGCAAAGGGGTGTGGGGTGGGAGTGGGAATGGGGGTGGGTTATAGCTCTCAGAAGACAAATTTAGGAATAGCTATGTGAGAAAAACGTTAATAAACTTCTAATCTTAAATCAATTATATTCATAAACTAAACACGTTTTTTCAAGCAAGATAACAAAAAGTTAAGTTTCATATTTAATCCTCTGATCTTTCTACTCTTATTCTAAAATCCTTTATGAATTTTATTCTATAACTAAATTTAATACAACTAGCAGTTTGTTAAAAGCATGACTGTAAGTAGTAAACTATGCCCTTCAATTAGGCCAAAGGTCTAAATTACATTTCATATTTAAATGCTCACAATGGAGCAGAAAGATTGGAAAAGAAAATCCGATATTTTTCTAATATGTAACCTTATCTCACTTAAAGTAGCAGAAAGAAAGGAATCTCTGTACTGCTTAGCAAAGCCATTCTACATTGTTTCCAACTAAGTATAGTAAATGGTTATAACCCTCAGAGATCCTCCTGTTACATTTTCTAAGTTATTCAACTTAGAGGGTATGCACATACCATTTAACTAGTCCTGGTTCCTTGTGCTCAGGGATTAGAAACAGGATCTGAGAGATAATAGCTGCCCTTGGTATAATAAAAAGGACATGGGCATAATTTTCCTGTGAGAAATGGGTAATCAAAAGTAAAAATAAAAGAGTGAAAACAAAGGCTGTGATTAGGAACTGGGGCCGAGAATAAAGGCGCAGGATACAAAATAGGTAACTAGATGTCTCCCTTACACTGGGAAGCTGCTAAAGGGAAAGTTTAGAGTACAAACAGACAAACAGCAGGTAAACTTTCAATGTTAACATCAGGCTGAGATCTGAGGATAGCGGTTCAAAGACAGCCCGGGCAGGAAAGTCCGTGAGACAATTAACTGCAATAACTAACCACCAGAAGACTGGAAGTGGCGCTGTGGCTCAAGTGGAAGACCACTTGCCTTAAGCTGAAGACCTCAGGGACAGTGCCCAGGCACAGAGTTCAAGACCCACAAACAAACCCCCCCCCCCCCCAAAAAAAAAAAAGAACAGTGATAGTTGTGTATTACACCAGTCTTTTTTTTGTTGTTGTTGGTCATGGGGCTTGAACTCTGGGATTGGCCACTGCCCCTGCACTCTTCAGCTCAAGGTGAGTGCTCTACCACTTGAGCCACAGCACCACTTCCGGTTTTCTAGTGGTTTATTGGAGGTAAGAGTCTCATGGAGTTTCCTGCCCAGGCTGGCTTATCCTCAGATCTGAATATCTAGGATTACAGGCGTGAGCCACCGGCACAGGGCACAACAGTCTTTAATAGACAGAAATTCAGACCTGCCACAAATAAAGCCTATCTATACAAGCTATAAAGATTACATGCTTATTATAGGATTATGGGTATGTACTCCTCCCATTGAAAATGGAATTGGGGGGGGGGGGGGGCGGGGAGATGGAGAGGAGTTGGACGTGGGGCCTGAACTCTGGGCCTAGGCACTGTCTTCTTAGCTTTTCAGCTTAAGGCTAGTGCTCTACCTCTTGAGCCACAGCACCACTTCTGGCCTTTTCTGTTTATGTAGTGCTGAGGAATCGAACCCAGGGCCTCATGCATCCAAGGCAAGCGCTCTACCACTGAACCCTCTTCCCAGCCCAAAAATGGAAAAAAAAATTTTAATCTATTTTTTTGTTTTCTTTAAGTCAGATTCACTTTAAGCATTTTGAGAAAACCATCTTATATTCTGTGACTTCACACCCCATTGAACCTAGTTATAAATACATTTATTTATTAACTGCTAGATCCATACAAACAACATAAAAGATACTTTGGGGACAACTGGAGGTTTTGATTATGAAACAAATATTAGTATACTACACAATTATAATTCTTAGATATAATATTCTTAAGTATAAAAGTGTTTGTAAGATAGTTATTTCTTAGATGATATAGCTAGAGTAGCTGTAAACATCTGTAACTTACTTTCAAATGTTGTAGACATAGATATCTATGTAAATATATATACTCATGCATATACACTAATGCATAAACACACCCTATGCAGAAAGGAAATCTTACTACTATAATAACAGAATTAGAATCACCTGTTTTATCTGCAGGAACATCTTACTATTCATTCTGTTCATCATACCAGTCTTGTTACTTGAGTTTTTTTTTTGGTCAGTTGTGGGGCTTGAACTGAGGGCCTGGAAGCTGTCCCTGAGCTCTTCACCTCAAAGCTAATGCTCTATCACCTGAGCCACTTCTGGTTTTCTGGTGATTAACTGGAGATAAGAAGAGTCTCACTAACTTTCCTGCCCAGGCTGGCTTTGAACCATGATCCTCAGATCTCAGCCTCCTGAGTTAGGATTACAGGTGTGAGCTACCGATGACCAGCCTTTGAGTCATTTCTCTTTTAAGAGACTTTAGATGCAAAATTCTATTTTAGCCAGTGCTAAGTTTTGTTTTGTTTTGGTTTTTTTTTTTGGGTCCGGTCGTGGGGCCTGAACTCTGGGCCGGGGCACTGTCCCTCAGCTCTGCAGCTCAAGGCTAGTGCTCTACCACTTGAGCCACAGCGCCACTTCCGGCTTTTTTCTTATGTGGTGCTGAGGAATCGAACCCAGAGCCTTGAGCATGCAAAGCAAGCGCTCTACCACTGAGCCACCTTCCCAGCCCTAGCCAGTGCTAAGTTTATGCAAAATAAACCACAGCCTGGGCCATACCTCTGCTGATAAGATAAAAAATATGTAATTCGCCAGACAACGGTGGCTCAGGTGGCTCAGGCACGTCAGCCCAGCTGCTCAGGAGGCTGATATCTAAGGATTGCAATTCAAAGCCAGCCCCCCGGGCACGATCTCTAGTAAAACACCAGAAAACCAGAAGTGGTGCTGTGGCTCAAGTGGCAGAGTGTTAGCCTTGAGCTGAAGAGCTCAGGGACAGCACCCAGGTCCAGAGTTCAAGCCCCAAGACCCACAGAAAAAAATAATAATAAAAATAAAAGTAAAAAAGTAATTATATATAAATTCTATATTATGTAGTCAGTCAGCTTACATAGAGAATTTTAAAATAAGCTACATGCCAGCAACTCAAACCTGTAATCCCAGCTACTTGGGTTGAAGGCCAGACTAGGCCTTCTCAACCCACAGCTGGCTGTGTACCATGGTGCACCTCATGATACCATCTCAAAAATAACCAGCACATGGGGCTGGGAAGGTGGCTCAGTGGTAGAGCGCATGCCTTGCATGCCAGAGGCCCTGGGTTCGATTCCTCAGCACCACATAAGCAAAATGAAAAAAGCCGGAAGTGGCGCTGTGGCTCAAGTGGTAGAGCGCTAGCCTTGAGCTGAAGAGCTGAGGGACAGCGCCCAGGCCCAGAGTTCAGGCCCCATGACTGGACCCAAAAAAAAAAAAAAAAAAAAAATAACCAGCACAAAACAGGACTGGAAGCATGGCTCCAGCGGTAGAGCCCCCAAAAAGTATGTTTTTGTTGTTGTTGTTGATTTTGGCCATTCCTGGGGTTTGAAGTCAGTCTTGGCTCTGGCCCTGAGCTTCTCTTGCTCAAAGTTAGCACTCTACCACTTGAGCCACAGCACCAGATCTGGCTTTTTCTGTTTATGTGGTACTGAGGAATTGAACTCAGGGCTTTATGCATGATAGGCAAGCATTCTACCACTGAGCCACATTCCCAGCCAAAATTAAAAATATATATATATAGATATATAGATGCCACAAGGAGAAGCAAAACATCCTAGAAATGCGTATTGACCCTTTGAAAAATTCTGTTACTCATCACAGTAAACTAGTAATTTGGCTGAGTGTGGCTTTGTCAATGGAGAGTCACCACACACGTGCATGAGAATGCTGTGTGTAAAGCCAAACAAACCAAAGATGGAGCTCGCTCACTTGTACATTCCAAAGCCAGAGCTCAGAGCAGTCATCGGGGCCACAAGCAACAAGATAGTTGTCATCTGGACTCCATGCAATGTATGAAACACCATAAGCATGTCCTTCTAATGTCTTTAGAAGTTTCAACAGGTGTGTATCCTAGAAGAGAAACAGACAACAACTAAATGCCAACCCCAAAAGAAATGGTTTTCTAGAGTAAGAACTTGAGGATGCACCTGATATAAACAATTTTTTATAATTCAATTAGAGCTCACACAGTTTATTTCATTAAAACCTGTTCACATTTCTTTGTTGTTGTTGTCAGTCATTGAGCTTCAACTCTGGGCCTGGGTGCTGTCCCTGAGCTCTTTAGCTCAAGGTTAGCACTCTACCACTGGAGCCACAGCACTTCTGGTTTTCTGGTGGTTAACTGGAGATAAGAATCTCATGGACTTTCCTGCCCAGGCTGGCTTTGAACCTCAATCCTCAGAGCTCAGCCTCCTGAGTAGCTGGGATTATAGGTGTGAGCCACCGGTACCCAGCTAAAACCTGGTCACATTTCTATATCTACTAACTTGCTCAAGGCTAGCACTCTATCATTTGAACCACAGCACCACTTCCAGCTTTTCCCAAGTAAGTAGTTTATTGGACATAAAGAGCCTTAAGGACTTTCTTGCTCAGGCTGACTTCAAACCACGATCCTCAGATCTTCATACCCATTAGCAATGTCTCTCTATGGCTCCTGCTTTTATACTTTCTGGTTTTATGGATTTGCTTATTGTGTATACTATATAAATGAAATTATACAGTCTCTAGTAACTGGCTTCTGTCATTTAGTGTAACATCCCAGGGGCTCATCCATGTTGTACAATGTTGCTGATGAATATTATTCCAGTTTATAGACGTACTGTATTTTGTTTGGTTTCTACTTTGTTTTTTTCTTTGGTCATAGGGCTTGAACTCTGAGCCTGGGCGCTGTCCCTCAGCTCTTTAGCTCAAGGCAAGCATTCTACCACTTGAGCCACAGCACTACTTCCTGTTTTCTGGTGGTTTATTGGAGATCAGTCTCTCACAGACTTTCCTGCACAGGCTGGCTTTGAACTACGATCCTCAGATCTCAGCCTCCCGAGTAGCTAGTCACAGAGAGCCCAGCTTTCTATTTTGAATGAGGCTATATGAATATGTATTTTGTGTAAATGTTATTTTTCTTAGAAATACATGTACTCTACATATGTAGAGTGGAATTCCTTAGTCGTAAGCTAACTCTACATTCAATATATATATATATATATTTTTTGGGGGGGGGGGAGTCCAGTCATGGGGCCTGAACTCTGGGCCTGGGCGTTGTTCCTCAGCTCTTCAGCTCAAGGCTAGCGCTCTGCCAATTGAGCCACAGTGCCACTTCCAACTTTTTTCTTTTTGCTTATATGGTGCTGAGGAATGGAACCCAGGGCCTTAGGCATGCAAGGCAAGCGCTCTACCACTGAGCCACCTTCCCAGCCCCCTACATTCAATATATTTTTGTGCCAGTCAGGGCCTGGGCATTGTCCCTGAGGTTTTGTGTTCAAGGATAGTGCTTTACCACTCGAGCCACATGCCTCACTTCTGGCTTTTTTGGTGGTTGATTGAAATGGAAGTCTCACAAACTTTCTTGCCAGGGCTTTAAACCACGATCCTCAGATCTCAGCTTTCTCAGTAATCCTCAGTTTTACTGGTGTGAGCCGCTGACTCAAGGTTTATATCCAGTACCATGAGTAAATGCTAAACTTTCGTAAGACACTGTATCCTTGTATCCTTCAGACTGCATTCCAACCAACAAAGTTACCACTATTTTTTGCTAATCAGTATCAGTACTTCTCACAAAAATAGTTAACCCTCAAGTCTATTATATTGCTAATTATATACACACACACACAAACAATTTGCTTGTTTACAACACAGTGAGGCCAACTCTTGAGGCCCACACCAAGTTCTTCTGCAGGCTGACCATCCAGTGAGAGGGTTACTTCAGGATAATGGGCTCCAGGCAAAAATGTGTCAAAACAGGGCCAAAATACAATGGGAACTAACTCTAACTACTTGAAAATCATCAGATCATCATGGTTCAAGGCCAGCATAAGCAAAAAGTTCAGTGTGACATAACCCCCTCCCACCAACCAACAAGCTAGGCGTAGTGAGTGGTACATTTCTGTTACCTTGGCTAAAGGGGAGGCCTTTTGTGGAAGGGTTGAGGGTAGAAGGTAAGCAACCCTGAGAAAAATTCAAGACCCTATCCACAAAAAACCACCAATAACCCAAGGCAAAAGTGCTCGAGTATAAGGCTGCATAATAGCCCCAGTACCACCAAAAACTCACAATGTCAAACCTGGTAATTGGCATTAGGGAGAAGAATAGGACAATGTAGATGGGGATCCAAACAAAGAAACAAGGTAAGAAAACCTGCAACAAACCAATCCAACAGTCATAATTTCCAGGAAATGAGGCTCTATCCGGGCGGTAAACCTTGTTTTCTGACCAGATCCATTAGAATATTTATAACATCACCCTAAGCCTCAAAAAAACTATCCATATGGGCAGATCTGGCCATGGGCCACAAACAAGAAGCAGCAAAGGTCTGTCCCCAAAGGATTCTGCAGACCTGACAACTTTTTTTCTTTTCTTTTCTTTTGATGACCCCAGGACTTGAACGTTAGCCCAACTGCTGTTCCTGAATTTTTTATGCTCAAGGCCAGCACTCTAACTCTTACTTGAGCCACTTCCAGCTTTTACTGAGGAAAGTCTCACGAACTATCCAACCCAGTCTGACTTAGAACCGTGATCCTCAGATGTCAGCCTCCAGAGTAGCTAGGACCTCAGGCCAGAGCCACCAGCAACCAGCCCTTAGGCTTTAGCTACAACTAGGTTGGTCAGGACTAAAAGAGTTCAAATGAAGATAATGAGATTTGAGTAAGGGTGTGGACAGGGAACAGAGAAAGAAAGAATCTGATCAGAGGTTGCAAAAACCAATTTCAGGCTTTAGTCTGAAAAGCTTATTGAGCCTTGTTCTCAGCCAAGGGTAAATTATTCCAAAATGACTGTACATAGTTACAACCTATTAGCAATAAGGAACAAGCGTGGAACTAGCCCGATAAAATTAGTAGAGGTTCTCCATTGCCTAGAAACTGTTCCTTCCCTGGGTCTGAAGTTTACGATTCATAAATTCTCTAGTCCAAATTTCCACTATTTTAAAAAAAAATAAAATTAGGGTTAACAATGCAACTACAAAGTGTTCTTTGGGAAGGCGGCAAGAAGCATAGAGAGTATTTGCAGTAGATCAAAATGTTCTGTAAAAATTAACAAAGTCTGGGGCTGGGAAGGTAGCTCAGTGGTAGAGCGTTTGCCTTGCATGCCTGAGGCCCTGGGTTCGATTCCTCAGCACCACATAAGGAAAAAGAAAAAAGCCAGAAGTGGCGCTATGGCTCAAGTGGTAGAGCGCTAGCCTTGAGCTGAAGAGCTGAGGGACAGCGCCCAGGCCCAGAGTTCAGGCCCCATAACCAGACCCAAAAAAAAAAAATTAGTCTTTCTGACTACAACATCTGCCAAGAATAAATTTTTATTCAAAGTAGTACTCCAGTAATCTCTTAGAAGTACTTAGTAAGTTTTGTACACTTTAACAAAAAACTGTAGTCCTAAAAAAATAGAAGTTAAATACAAGGTAAGAACATTAAGACTATTACTTCAAAAGTACAGTGCCAAACTGGGCACCGGTGGCTCATATCTGTTAACACTAGCTACTCATGAGGCTGAGACCTGAGAACCACAGTTTGATGCCAGTCTTGGCAGAAAATGAGAGACTTTTATCTCCATTTAACTACCAGAAAAGTTCAAAGTGGAACAGTGGCTGAAGTGGTAGTGCTAGCATGAGCAAAAGTTCAGGGACAGTGCCCAGGCCCTGAGTTCAACCCCCAGAATCAGTGCACGCACACGCACACACACACGCGCGCACACACACACACACACACACACACACACACACACACACACACACACACACACACACACACACACTACAGTGCCTTGGTCTGCAGGACCCTGAAAAACCTAAACATAGAATTTCCCTATGATCCAGCTACCCCACTCTTGGCCATCTACCCAGAACACTACAGGCTAGGATACGGTAAAGACACCTGCACATCCATGCTTACTGCTGCACTGTTAAGCCAAGATCAGAGACAGAAGTTTTCTCTCATATGCAGAAGCTAGATGTAAAATACAAAATAAATTATACAAGACTCTAGGCATTCACACACAGTGAGTCTAGAGGAGGGTACTCCTTCGAGGAACACAAACATGCAATGCCTATGCACCTCTGACCATATAAACTAATACTTATTGAAATGAAACAAGGTTTTTTTCCCCTTCTTTTTACCGTTTGTTTTTATCTGTATTTGGGAGGGTGAGGAGGGCACAGAAATAGAGACAAAGGGTGAATAACTGCAGCAGTGATACTCAGTAGACACTACGTTGAAAATGAACTATACAACTTGTGGGAGGAGACAAGAGGGAAAAACTCAGAGACAGCGACAGAAGGGGAGACATTGTCCAAAAAGAGATGTACTTATTACCTGACTTATGAGCTAGTAACCCTCTGAACATCACCTTTACAGTGACAATAAAAAAAAAAAAAAAAAAAAAGAGCAGTATCTCACCTGCTTTTTGTGGGACGGCTATCATTTCCACTAGTTTGGACTAAATCGTCTTTTTGTCCTTCCTCATCTAAGATCTACTTTTGTTATTCTCCTAGCATTCCAGTCCAACCAAGTTCTCTTCCATGAGCTTCCACAGTATCCATTACAGAACAATTAGGGTTATCTTTTTTTTTTTTTTTTTGGTCAGTCGTGGGGCTTGAACTTTAGGCCTGAGCACTATCCCTCAGATCTTCAGCTCAAGGCAAGTACTCTACCACTTGAGCCACAAGTGCCACTTCCAGGTTTCTGATAGTTAACTAGAGATAAGCGTCTCACAGACTTTCCTACCCAGGCTGGCTTTGAACCATGATCCTCTGATATCAGTCTGCTGAGTAACTAGGACCACAGGTATGAGCCAATAGTGCCCAGCTAGGGTTTATTATCTTGTGTGCAGTCTTTCTGTAGGAAAATACCTGGCACAAAATAGGTACTTTAGGGGCTGGAAAGGTGGCTCAGTGGTAGAGTGCTTGCCTTGCATGCCTGAGGCCCTGGGTTCAATTCCTCAGCACCACATAAGCAAAAAGAAAAAAGCCGGAAGTGACGCTGTGGCTCAAGTGGTAGAGCGCTAGCCTTGAGCTGAAGAGCTGAGGGACAGTGCCCAGGCCCAGAGTTCAGGTCCCATGACCGGACCCAAAAAAAAAAACCAAACAAAAAAATAGGTACTTTATACTGGCCAAATGAACAAGGGACTCTGGTAGCTGTTACAAGAAAACAAAATAAAGCACCCTTTTATACTGTTGCTTGCACTTTTATATATGTATATAATACCACTTAAATATTGAGATATTGTTTATGTATTTACACACCTTGCATATAACTTAATAAAAGTAGAACCCTTACTTAGGATAGAATGCAAGGTCATGTTTTAATCCCAAACTCTTTCTAGACTTATCTTCTATTTTTTGTCATTATTAAATCAAACTGTACTTTTTTTTTTTTTGGTCAGTCGTGGGGCTTGAACTCTGGGCTTGGGTGCTATCCTTGCGCTCTTCAGCTCAAGGTGAGCACTCTACCAGTTGAGCCACAGCACCACTTCTGGTTTTCTAGTGGTTTATTGGAGATCGAGTCTCAGGGACTCTTCCTGCCACGGCTGACTTTGAACCACGATTCTCAGATATCAGCCTCTGGAGTAGCTAGAATTAGAGGTGTGAGCCGACACCTGGCAAACTACTATTTTTAAATATTCTAGTATATTCTCCTTTCTTATCTTGTTTGTATAATTCACAGAAAGGTACAAATGAAGTATTCTAACCTGTGAAACTGCTTTATGCTTTTGATAGTATAGAGTATACTAATTTAATTGCACCTTATTTCCATTTATAAGTTATACAATTCTTTTACTGGCGTTCTTAACACAGTATCTCCAAAAAGTGCTCTAGGGATAGAATCAGGGATCATTAAACATAAATGAGAAGAAAAAAGGTTCACCTCTAGTTTCATTAACCAATGCCCCAAATTCAGTATTTTCTCCCATCTGTATCGCAGCAATTTCGCAAAGTAGTACTAAGTACGTTCATATTATTAGGTAGTAATTAGGAATTACAATAAACTAGCTATTATTTGGCTCTTAATACACAAATCTCTCAAAAAGTTTTTGTTACATTTGCTGCAACATCTTACAGTATTGTTAGTGCTCATCCTTAATTCAGTGTTCTAGTTCTTATTAATTTTTTAATAAAATCGTAAAAACAAAGTACAATTAAGCTATATTGTATTTTACTATGCTAATAACTGTTTTAATACTAGGGTTCCTAAGTAATATGTATCATATTTATATTTGGGCACACTATGTTTTGATGGAAAGTCTGAGACTTACATAAAATTAACAAAAACTGGAGCGGAGCAGTGACTCAAATAGTAGAGTACTGGCCTTGAGGGGGAAACAAAAACAGAAACCGCCTCAGAGAGCCAGGTGCTGGTGCTCACACCTGCAATTTTAATTACTCAGAAGGCTGAGGGCTGTGGCTCACAGCCAGAGGGGGCAGGCAAATCCATGAGACTCTAACCTACAATAAAACTACCTGGGAAAAGCCTGAAGTGGTGCTGGACTTCAAGTGGTAGAGCCCTTGCCTTGAGCAGGAAAGCTCAAGGACAGTGTACAGGCCCTGAGTTCAAGCCCCGACTGGCACAAAATAAGAAAACACATCAGGGACACGGCCTAGGTCTCAAGTTCAATCCTCAGAATAGGCACAAACAAATAGTAATAAGTTACATTCAAAATTACTCCCCTTTGCAATTTTAACACTCATATTGCAGTACATACCGAATCAACTTGCCATATGATAACGGTTGTATCTTTTGATCCTGTTGCTAGTTTAGTGCCATCATTAGAGAATTTACAAAACCACACTTCATTACAATGCTCCGTAAGTATTTGCTGAGTATAACAGGGAAATTGTCTCCTAAAACAAAGAATTCACACATAAGTATCTTTCAGAATACATTTTAGTAATAATACAAAAGATAAACTCATACAACTTCTCTGAAAGTCACATCATAAAAATAAAGTATGAATATATTTATAGATCTTAAAGAATGTTTAGAAGCTCGTACTGGTGGCTCACACCTGTAATCCTAGCTACTCGGGAAGCTGATGTCTGAGGATCACAGTTCAAAGCCAGCCCGGGCTTTGGTAAGAGTCTGTAAGACTCTTATCTCCAATAAACCACCAGAAAACCGAAGTGGTGCTGTGGCTCAAGTGGTAGAACTCTAGCCTTGAACTAAAGAGCTCAGGGACAGTGCCCAGACCCAGAGTTCAAGCTCCATGGCTGAAAAAAAAAAAAAGAATGTTTAGAGCCTGGCACTAATGACTCATGTCTGTAATCCAAGCTACTAAAGAGGCTAAGATCTAAGAATCATAGTTTAAACCAAGCTTGGACAGGACAGTCCATGAGATGTTTACCTGACTATTGAAAAGCTGGAGATAGAGCTATGGCTTAATTCTAGTCTTGAACACAAAAAATACTCAGGGACAGCATTAGGCAGAGTTCAATGCCCAGGACAGGTGGGCGCACACACATGCATGCATGTGTATACACAATGTTAATAATGGTATGTTGAAAAAAAAAAATACTATAATATTATTTTTTGGTCAAAGTAACTCAAGAAGAAATAATCTACAATGTTTCTATTTAAATTTTTCCTTTTTTAAAGATTGATAATAATAAGATGACAGCATTTTGCTCTTAAAGAAACAGGAATAACATACTATTTTTAATTACATTACAATCTAGTTAAACTTTAATTAGAAAGGCAACTTGACACAAAAAAAAAAAAAGAGAGAAACAGCATTGCTGTCTGACAATCAGTTTGGATCCCTTCTCAAAGGCTAGTAGTATCATCAAGTTTTTGACGTGTCATTCCACTCATTCCTTGAACCCTCAGTTCTAAAGCTAGACTAAATATCTGTCATCTATTACTCTCAGTGATAAAGAAGTTAAAGCTCCTAGGAAACATGTGTATCATATTCCCATCAGTTCATTTTCAAAAAGGGAAGCAAACTTGTAATACCTTCTGAAATTTCTTGAACTATAAATTCTAGTCATCACTTTTTTTTTTGGCCAGTCCTGGGGCCTGGGAACTGTGTCGTCCCTGAGCTGCTTTTTGCTTAAGGCTAGCACTCTACCACTTGAGCCACAGCACCCCTTTCGTTTTGTTTTTTTGTCTATGTGGTACTGAGGAATCGAACCCAGGGCTTCATACATGTTAGGCAAGCACTCTGCCACTAAGCTACATTCCCAGCCCAAGTCATCACCTTTTAATGTATCCCAACAATAAATTCATGAACCCAAAAGATTTGGGTTCACAACTGACATAAACCAATTAAAAGAGCCATGAAATTATCTAGACTTTTAATATATTACTATTGCCTCTTTTTTCCAATTTAAGTGAAAATATTTAAAATCCTCATAAACAAGTCATAGTAAAAGACAAAGTAAAAAAGAAGTCAAGAGTAAAATAGGGTAAGGGAGAAAGACCAATAAGTACTTCTGATACAACACCTGAAGTCACATACCAGGTATTAAATTAGTATTTTAAGATAAACAGTTTATGTTTTTATTAAAAATGGAAAGAGTCAAAAACAGACTACGGTGATGAGGGTATAGCTTGGTGGTAGAGCCCTTGCCCAGTATACGTGAGGCTCTTGGTTCAGTTACCAGCAAAAAAGGAGGGGAAAAAAAAAAAAAGCACACGCACCCCCCCCCCCCCCCACACACACACCTATATATACTTAAGCATTATTTAAACCAAAATCAAGATGAGTACATATACTTAAAGCCTTCTTAGGCCGGGTGCTGGTGGCTCAGGCCTATAATCCTAGCTACCCAGGAGGCTGAGATCTGAGGATCAGGGTTCAAAACCAGCCAGGGCAGGAAACTGTGTGACTTTTATCTCCAATAAACCACTAGAAAACTAGACGTGGTGCTATGGCTCAAGCGGCAGAGCACTCGCCTTGAGCTGAGGGACAGCACCCAGGCTCAGAGTTCAAGCCCCACAACCAACAAAAACAAACAAAAAACAAAACCAAAGCCTTCTCATAGGTACTTGTAGGTCTGCTATTCCCCACTTTCACGAGTTCTTTGACCTTTTGGTACTGCAGCCACCCCTCCTATTCAGGCAACAGAACCAACTGCTGATCTCTGGGAAGGTTTGAAAGGTCACAGAAATTGTTTGTTGGTACTTGAAAATTACAGTTTGAATGTTGGAGCTTTAATTTTGGGAGTTCATTCTCTTTAATTTTCAGAGTTGACAATCCTAACTTTTCACTTGTGACAAGATCTTCAGACAAATCCTTATCGCTTCCATTGTTACAAAGCTATAGAATAAACTATAGAAAACATTCTAATAAAGTTCAGAATTGTAAAATGCTAACGTATCTCACACTATCAAAGTTTTCCTCTTACCTACTACAAACATGATCTATAAGTAGAGACACAGAATCCAGATTACTATCAAGTTTGGTGTTGTGGTATAGGCACCGATCCCTTTGTAGTTCCACTGCCTGCCGCAGGAGGGTCTGTAAACGCCGTGGGGGAAGCATCACTGATGGTGGTAAATAGGCTTTAATAGAAGATATTTTAAAAAGAGAAGTAAAAACAATAAACTGTAAACTTTTATTTAAGACATATATTCCTCTTAACTATATTTAACCTTACCCTCAATAAAACCATGTTACTTAATAGACAAGTACTAGGGAGATAACATAACATGAATTTAAAGTCTATCTGTCAAAACCTACAGTGGCTGGGTGCCAGTGGATCACGCTTGTAATCCTAGCGACTCAGAAGGCTGAGATCTGAGGATTGCGGTTCAAAGGCAGCCCTGGCAAATAAGGCCCATGAGGCTTTATCTCCAATTCTCACTCAGAAATCAGAACTGCAGCTGTGACTCAAAAGTGGTAGAGTGCTAGTCTTGAGCAAAGGAGCTCAGGGACAGTGCCCAGGCCATGCATTCAAGTCCATGACCAACCAAAAACAAACAAACAAAAAACCCTTAGAACAATGTTGCCACTACAGAGATGTCCATGGCCAGGAGGACTTTATAAGTGTTATCACAAAACAAACAAGGTAGAATGTAATAAAAAGAAAATCTAATAATTATTTATCAGTGATGATCAGGCATAAGAAAAAGCTCCACAAGAACAAGTAAAAATCCTGAACAGGCCAGTTACAAGTCCCTGTCAAATAGCTCGGACTGCTGAAGTAACAAAGATTGGAGTACCAATCTTTCAGTACTTCATGCTTCTACCAAAGTACATGGGGTGTGTTTTTTATTATTTGGATTTCTACACCTACCTCAACTTTACTGAAGAGTAAGATCTGAACAGAAAAGTCTTTTATGTAGAGACATTGCAAAAATGAACTTTTTAAAATTTGGGAGAATAAAACTGTATGTAAAGAAATCTGGAACTCATTATTTAAAAACCAACAAAAATTATAAAATGCTTTCAGCTTAAAGCTATGGTCTCAATGTTTTCCCTTTAATCACAGCACTATTTCACCCCAAAAGAAAGAATTCAACAGCACCATAGACCAGTTCAGTGACCGGTGCTCTCACTGACTCCTCAATAAAAGTAGGTCAAGATAAAGTCTTCCTAACTGATTCATAGTATCTACTTCCAAACTACGAAAAAAACAAACATAAAAGTCATGGTTCTCACTCTGAAGTTTATCCAGCAGTTTTGATCGGGAAGCTGTTCCTTTGCCTTCCCATTCTGCTTTTGCTCTTAGGTCTTCTGCATGGCTACACATCAGATACCTAAAACAACAGAGAAAGTAAATATCAAACTTTTTCTTTGAAATGTAACTGAAAAGTATTGAACACACACACACACAAAACTTTTCTTTTTTTGGTGCCAGTCCTGGGGCTTGAACTCAGGGCCTGGGTGCTGCCCCTGATCTTTTGTGCTCAAGCCTAGTGCTCTACCACTTGAGCCATAACTCCAGGCTCTACTTCTGGTTTTTTTTAGTAGTTAACTGGAGGTAAGAAAGGTCTCATGGACATTCCTGTCCAGGCTGGACTGGAACCTTGACCCTTAGATCTGCCTCCTGAGTAGTCAGGACTATGTATGAGTCACTGGTCCCAGCAACAATTTAGTTCTTACTAACACAAATCAAGAAGAGATTTTTCTTTTTAATTTTTGGTGGCACTGGAGTTTCACTCAGAGCCACAGGCCTGCCAAGCACTGTGCTACCTGAGATCCACCCAGGCCCCTTTTTGCTTACTTTTCAGGTAAGGTCTTCAGTTTCACCAAGGTCTCTGACTGTGACCCTCCTAACCCATGTCATCTTTGGTATAGCTGGGATTATTGGAGCACATCACCACACCTGGCTTAATTTGAGGTGGGAGGCGGTATCTCACTACCATAACTTTCCCAAGAAGATAGGATTGTAAACAGGAGCCACTCTGCCCAGCTTTTGAAAAGAGATTTCTGTAGTGACCCAACTCATTACTACAGTATGGTACCTTCATAAAACTACTAAAATGTGATGACAGTAATAACTGAATACACAATACTATTATTATCTATTAACACAGTGTCTTACTATATAGCACAAGCTTGAACTCTCAATCCTTTTGCCTCTGCCTGAGCACTAGAATTATAGTGTGTGTGTGCGTGCGTGCATGTCCGTCCCCATCCAGGGTCCGGGTGCTAACATCAGGCTTTGTTAAGTTCACGGATAGCTCTAGCACTCTTAGCACATGAGCCACAGCTCCCCTTTGCGTTAACTGGAGATAACTAGAGACTCTAGGACTTCTCCTGCCAGGGTTGGCTTCAAACTGGGATCCCCAGATCTCAGTCTCCCAAGTAGCTAGTATTACTGTACAAGAGTGGGCCACTGGCACCCAGCTAATGTCCCTAACAATCCTATTAGGAAGTATTATTATTCTTCCATTTCTAAAATGAGGAAACCAAGGCACAGAATACCTTCAATAGGCTTGGGGAGCTAAGGGGCAGTGGGAGGAGGCAAAGCAAAAAAATATAGGAACCCAGGCATTCTGGCTGTGGATCTTGCTCTCATCCACTGAGTTAACTTCACAGCGTCTCAACAATAAATCAAAGCTCGAAAAACCTTACTATTAGCCAGGCACCACCGGTGGCTCATACCGTAATTCTAGCTACTCAGGAGGCTGAGATCTGGGGATCACATTTCAAAGCCAGCCCAGGCAGTAAAGTCTGTGAGACTCTTATCTCCAATGAACAACCAGAAAACCAAGTGGCTCAAGTAGTAGAATGCCTGGACAGTGCCTGGGCCCAGAGTTCAAGCCCCACAACCAACCAAAAAAAAAAGCTTACTGTTTTTATTGAGTTACTTAACAACATATCCTTAAGAGTTTACATAAATATCACTCAAGAAAGTGTCATTAGGTAACATTCTTGCATCACTCTGTAAAAGGCATTGAGATTTTTGAGCAGACTCTGGAAACTTTTTTTCCTTATTGTATGTGCAGACAGTGGCATAAATACTCTAAGTCATGGTCTCTAGAGAACACATAAGACACCGGAGCTTCTGCACACTATGCAACCCTCACCTGGTTCTGAGTCTTCTCAGAAGAACTGGATTTGAGTAGCAGCAGCAAAGGTATTATTAGTCCAACATGAATCCTTGCTCTGCTACTGCTACAAAGGTAAAGCTCAACTGGGGCTACTATAAGTACCAGAAACTTCTCAGTTAACATAATTACTGTCCCCTTCTTTCCTTAACTGCAAAAAGCAAACAGTCAACTAGCCTCTTACCCAACAGCAGAATTACTTGTTCTCTTGGTACTTAATTTATAAATAGCATCTTAGCAATAAAAAACACACACATAGGGGCTGGGAAGGTGGCTCAGTGGTAGAGCGCATGCCTTGCATGCATGAGGCCCTGGGTTCAATTCCTCAGCACCACATAAGCAAAAAGAAAAAAGCCGGAAGTGGCGCTGTGGCTCAAGTGGTAGAGCGTTAGCCTTGAGCTGAAGAGCTGAGGGACAGTGCCCAGGCCCAGAGTTCAGGCCCCACGACGGGACCCAAAAAAAAAAAAAAAAAAAACATACATATAGTGCATATAATTATACTCAAAAAGCCCCAAAGGAAGCTGGAAATGGAAGGTGTTTTCCTAAGAATAACTTCTAAGAGAATTAAATGCAAATATGAGCAAATTCTTCTAAAATTATGCAAAAGTGCCCTGTGGTTGATTCTTTACCCTTTTGAAAACTTACACTAACCCTAAGGGGTGTGTGTGTGTGTGTCAGTTCTGGAACTAAAGGTTTAGTGTATGTGTGTGTCTGTTGGTCCTGGGGCTTAACTACACACTAACTCAAAGGAGTGTGTGCATGTGTATGCCGGTCCTGGGCTTGAGTACACACTAATCCTGGTGTACATGTGCATGTATATACCAGCCTGGGCTTACACATGAACCCTAAGAGATATATGTGTGTGTGTGTGTGTGTGTGTGTGTGTGTGTGTGTGTGCGCATGCGTGCACACGCATACACGCATGTGTGCCAGTCCTGGAATTTAATCTTGGGAGTCTAGGGGCTGTCCTTAAGCTTTTTTGCTCAAAGCAAGAGCTCTACCACTTGATCCCTATCTCCACTTGACTTTTCTACCTGGTGTAGCTTCAAAACCACAATCCTCAGATCTCAGTCTCCTGATTACAGGTGTGAGCTACTGGTACCCCGGCTAATCCTCAATTTTTAAATGAATGTCTATGTGTGGATAGTCACTTGGAATAATTGAAAAGCAGTGCTGGCAAGAAGCAATGGGTTCTGACCTTAGTTTTGTACATCTTGTTAACCTATGGGCTATTTCCTTGTGTGAAAATTCAAGGGAAAATCTGATCACTTTAGAATCACTTCAGAATAAAAACTACATTAAAACAAAAGAAAAGCTCAGGGATAGCTCCTAGGTCCTGAGTCAAAGCAACAGGACTGGCATCTCCCCCACCCCCCACAACAGTAATTAGAACCAGTGACAAATCAAGGTTTGAGACTTGTCCTTTTGATTTGCTTTATCTAGTGCTGGTTACTTAAGTTTCTGAGACTTAGCTCCCTTATCTGAAAAGTGAACCCTATATCACCTTTAGGCCAATAGATGCATTATGTCTTAAGATATTGTTTTAGACAGCAAGCTCACATTACATAGTAAAAAATACTATTAAGAACAAACAAAATAGAGCTAGGAAATGTCCAATATACAGTCTCAAGAGAGGGTATATACCTCAAGAGAGGGTATTTGGACTTGTGACCTGAACAACTAGTAGCAAAGGAAGTAGTAGAGGAAGTGCATTTTACACAAGTACTCACGTGGCTTAAGGCAACAAGTCACGGATCAGAAAAAATTTGTTCCACTAGAGAATAATGAGTAAAGGGGAAAGAAATAGAGTTTGAGGATCTTGTGGACTTGAAAACAGATTTGGGATTTTAAGTGTGCTAGATGACACAGGGAAAGGTTTTAAGCAAGAGTGAAATGACTTAATCTATGTTGGGTCCCCCACCCCTTTTTTTCCTTCCTTTTTTTGCCAGTCCTAGAGCTTGAATTCAGGACACTGTCCCTGAGCTTCTTTTGCTCAAGGTAAGCACTATACCACTTGGTCTACAGTGCCACTTCTGGCTTTTTCTGTTTATGTGGCACTGAGGAATCGAACCCAGGGCTTCCTTCAGGCTAGGCAAGCACCCTACCACTAAGCCACATTCCCAACTCTTAATTTATGGTTTTATTATAGACTTCTCCGGTTGTTGTTAGAAATATGCGTTGCTACCAGAGTTTGAAGGCATTTCAGTAAGGTATGTAGGGGAATGGATGGAAATACACCTTAAGTTTATTTTAGATGTAATCACCTTTGAGGTTAGTCCAGGCAAAAGGTTATCAATAAAAAGGCTAAGCATTTTGATATGCACATCATCTCAGCTATGCAAAAGTAGGAGGACCATAGTCCAGAAATAAACATGAAACACGAACTGAAAAATAATTTTAAAATAAAGCACATGGGCTTCAGGGCAAGGCTTGTCTTGTTCAACTGGTGGAGTCCCTGCCTAGCAAGCATGATGCCATGTTTAAACACCTGCACCGCAAAAACCAGAATCATCGTCCATCTGTTCATTCAAGCAGAGACTGTGAACTATTAGATATGCTATTAAATATACAAAGTAGCACTTCTCATGTGAGAGTGAGCTTGAAGATCTACCAGCCTACAGACAGAACATGAAGGTACGAGGCCTAGGACCAGCCTACAGACAGAACGTGAAGCACGAGGCCTAGGACCAGCCTAGAGACAGAACGTGAAGCACGAGGCCTAGGACCAGCCTAGAGACAGAACGTGAAGCACGAGGCCTAGGACCAGCCTAGAGACAGAACGTGAAGCACGAGGCCTAGGATCAGCCTAGAGAGAGAACGTGAAGCACGAGGCCTAGGACCAGCCTAGAGACAGAACGTGAAGCACGAGGCCTAGGACCAGCCTAGAGACAGAACGTGAAGCACGAGGCCTAGGACCAGCCTAGAGAGAGAACGTGAAGCACGAGGCCTAGGACCAGCCTAGAGACAGAACGTGAAGCACGAGGCCTAGGACCAGCCTAGAGACAGAACGTGAAGCACGAGGCCTAGGATCAGCCTATAGAGAGAACGTGAAGCACGAGGCCTAGGACCAGCCTAGAGACAGAACGTGAAGCACGAGGCCTAGGACCAGGCTCAAGGAACCTCAAACACATAAATAAGATTTTGAATGCAAGATTCTTTTTTTTTTTTTTTTTGTCAGTCATGGGACTTGAACTCTGTCTGGGCCTGGGCGCTGTTCCTGCGCTCTTCAGCTCAAGGCAAGCGCTCTACCACTTGAGCCACAGCACTACTTCCGGTTTTCTAGTGGTTTACTGGACATAAGAGTCTCACGGATGTTCCTGCCCAGGCTAGCTTTGAACCTCCATCCTCAGATCTCAGCCTCCTGAGCAGCTAGGATTATAGGCATGAGCCACTGGCGCCCGGCTTTGAATGCAAGATTCTTAGCAAGGACTTGGACCTGAACGTGGGTCACACAGATGTAGTCCCAGCTACTTGGAAATCAGGAACATCATGAGCTATGGCCAGTTCCAGACAAGATTAGGAGAACTTTGAGCTCAAGAACAACCCACCGGTGCCAACCAAAGCCCAACCTCAAAAGAACAAAAACAGAAGGGCTGGGTTGTATCTCAGGTGATAGTGTGGCTATAAAGTGAGGCACCCCAGTGCCACCAAAGCAAACCAGCAAAACTCTGGTACATGTGGCCATTTTCCCCCTTAAGAAGTCTGTATAAATTTAACTGCTTACTGGGATCTAAACCACCAGCTTTGTATAAATTTTGAAACAGCACTTCAGCTGGGTATGCTGGTCTACACCTAGCTCGCAGGCAGCTGCAGCCAGACTATGAACTCAAGGCCACCATGGGCTTCACAGCAAGACCCCAGCTTAAAAACAAACAAAAAACCCCAACCAAACTATATCAAAAAGAAATAGCATTTCATGGACTACACATATTACTTCTTTAAATATTTTCCTGTTCCCATACTGATAGCTTCCTAGGATGACAAAACGGCACCTGTGAATTTGCCCAGGTAAGTCTGATCTAAGAGTTTAGCAATATTCTAGTAATTATATCCCAGAACAGTAACAGACTCTTCCACCTGGAGCCTGAGCACGTGGCACCCTTACCCACTGAGAACGTGAATGCGCTCTGTGTTGTACTTCAGGGGCGTCAGCTCGCAGCGCAGAACCTGAAGTGCCTCCAGCACCTTGCCGTCCTCCAGATATTCCAGGTACTTCTGCTGCAGCAGCAGAAACTTCATCCTCTGACATGACAGAAAGTAGCAGTCAGGGGAAAAAGTTGATGGAAGTTTCAGAAAATGTTTGTGCCTAAACAGAACAGTAGAAACCATTCTACTATACCCTTTGAAAATAATTATATAAAGCTTCAAAATATTCTGGTTTAAGTCATAGTAGGCAAAATGATTCTGCTCAATTCTATACCTTAATAAAAAAACAACAACAACAAACAAACCCTGCTTTGAGTGAATAATCAGTCTCAGACAGAATCATTAGTGATGGAAGCATCAACATGACATTTGCCAGAATTTTGTTTCTTGTATGAAATCACAAATATTTTAAATGTGCTTTAAACATCTGACTTATTAGGGCATTGAGTGGATTTACGCAACAAGTTTTTAAAAGATTGGAGAAAAATCAGTGAATGGGTAGATTATTTTAAAACTACCACATATATGCTATGAGTATATGGGAAAGTCCTTGCCTAGCATGTGTGGCTCTGAGTTTGATCCCCAACACTGCAAAAATTATCACCAAAAAAACCCAAAAAGCCACACACAAAAGATGGACTAAACCCAGGTGTTGGTGGCTTGCTCCTGTAACCTAGCTACTAAGGAGGCTAAAAATCTAAGGATCGAGGTTTGAAGCTAGCCTGGGAAGGAAAAACTGACACGTCCTGGAAGTGGAACTGTGGCTCAAAGTGGCAGAGTGCTAGCCTTGAGTTAAAGAGCTCAGAGACAACACCCAAGCCCTGAGTTCATGCCCCATGACTGACAAAAAAACCCCCACAAAATTAGAAACACTGGGTAAAAAAATAAGTGCAGATTTTGCCTATCAAAATTAAGAGTTCTGTAACAATACTAGAAGCACGATCTCATTCTCTTCTAGTAAGAGACTAAGTGATGTCTACAGGAGAAGGAAGAATGTAAAGGTCTTTAAGAAAATTCAGTATTTGTGTATTTATAATAATGTGATCACTGATGCATTTAACAATGAAGCACAATTATTATAAGCTCTTTTTCCCCTAAAGGATAAATCACTTTTTCAGCTAACAATGAGGCACTGTCCCATTTAATGTTTTTCTGAAATCACTTTTATTTCTATTACTTTTAATATTATTTGACCATTTTACTTTTAACTTGTAAGTGATCATTACAATTTTAGCAGCTTTTTAACTAGATGAGAGACATTTATGAAAATCCACCTCTGGAATTTCTTTTACACTTTAAACTTAATTAAGGACCACCGCCTGAAATAACTCTTTCATTGTATGTACTACTTGTGGTGCTTGAGGAAACCAAATGACAGTAGCAAATAGACAATAAAGACTCCAAGAAATACAGTAAAAACCTACATGACAACCCATTCTGGTGCTGCCACAAAATGGTATAGAGAAATTACCACATATTCCCAGAACTAAGAGAACAATGGGTGTCGGCCAAGGAGAAGCCAGAAGGCATAAAATACACGCTTATAAAAATTAGACCTAGGCAAAGTAACTATAAGCCCTCACAGACAAACATCCAAATATATCATTTCTTTATAAAATACACTGCTTAGGCTTAATAACTTTGAAATTATAGAAAAAAATCATAACAGACAAGCTTCTATAGCTCTAGTAAAATTACTCAGTTAGACTGATCAATCAATGTTTCACAAAGACTAAACACTGAGATGCTTTAAAAAATGTTGTATAGGTTCCTAAAATTGATGTGCCAAATTAAAAAATATTACTTTAAGGCTCATCAGATGACAAAAATGAAAAAAAAGGGAGAAATTTATATTTGAAGTTCTCTCGGATATCACCTTTTATTTTTACTTTTTATGCTGGTCCTGGGGCTTGAACTCAAAGCCTGGACACTGTCGTTGAGATGTTGTGCTCAAGGCTAGTGCTTTACCACTTGAGTCACAGCTCCACTTTGGCTGAAGGTAAGTTATAGTCTCAAAGACTTCCTGCCTGAACTGCCAGATCTTAGCCTCCTGAGTAGCTAGTATTATAGGCATGAGCCAGATATTCTTAATATTTTGCTTTCTCTAGAAACTCTTTATAAACCAAGGAGCTCAATCAAATAAATCCCCGTACTGCTGAAAGTTTTAACTTAGGTATCTGTGATTTAAGCTTGAGAATCACATGTAGTTCTAGAATCTTACTGCCAACATGTGGTTCAATTTCTTACCATCTGGGAATTGGGAGGGAGTTCTTAACAACTGAGAAACTTTTTGCTTTAAATTCAGTATTTCTTGTTCATTTATTACCGAGCATGAAGATCTGAGTCCACTCTCCCCTCTAATCCAGTGTATGGGCATGGTACAACTGCTATTTCTCCCTTATTTTCCCACCAAGATCTTGACCAAACATACTATTCTCACTACGGGGAAGAGGTGGGGCTGGAGAGAGGAGGAAGACTAAACTTTGAGAGAAGCCAATATAAACCATGTATTCCTGTATTTACACAGAGAATGCTGTAAAAAGCAGTGCAAGAGGCTTTCTCTATGAGCTATTTTATCCAGATGAAGACAAAGAACACCCTCAAGTAAATATCAAGTCTTGGTTCGGTGCATGGCAACTAACATGCTCCAGTGACCAGTGCAAGAAATCTGCTTCAGAGAAAAATGTGTATTCTCTTAAAAACCAGTTGAACCCAAGTAATTTGATTCATATATGAGAAATAAAACTGTTTTTACCTCCTCAAATTTAGAGCACAAAAACGTAAATACACTCTCAAGAAAATAAAGACCTTTTATAATTTACAAATGATGTTAATAAAGTTTTTTTAGAATCAGATAAGACAGAAGTTTGCTCATACAGAGTCTGGGCTCTAAATATTATTTTCTATAAAAGATTATGGACTTAGGTCTGGGAAGGTAGCTCAGTGGTAGAGCGCTTGCCTTGCATGCCTGAGGCCCTGGGTTCGATTCCTCAGCACCACATAAGCAAAAAGAAAAAAGCCGGAAGTGGCGCTGTGGCTCAAGTGGTAGAGCGCTAGCCTTGAGCTGAAGAGCTGAGGGACAGCGCCCAGGCCCAGAGTTCAGGCCCCAGGACTGGACCCAAAAAAAAAAAAAAAAAAAAAAAAATAGATCATGGACTTCTAAAAGGAAGGAGAAAAAAAAGGAAAGAAGAAAATAAAACTATATTCTTTCAATTTCTAATTAAGACTTCTACAAGGTTATTTCTGGTCTGATGACTTGGGCTCAGTACTATTTCTTTCTTTTAACATCTAATAAAAACCTACCATTGGAGCCGGGTGCATGTAGCTCATACCTTTAATCCTAGCTACTCAGGAGGCTGAGATCGGAGGATCTCAGGTTTAAAGCCAGCCCCGGCAGGAAAGTCCTTGAGACTCTTATCTCCAATAAGAACCACTAGAAAACCGGAAGTGGTGCTATGGCTCAAGCAATCGCGTTCTCTTTGAGCTGAAGAGTACAGGGACAGGGCCCAAGCCCAGAGTTCAAGCCCCAGGACCGACCAAAAATAAATAAATAAATAAATAAAATAAAAAACCTACAATTGGGCTAGGAAGGTGGCTCAGTGGTAGAGTGCTTGCCTAGCATGCATGAGGCCCTGGGTTCGATTATTCAGCACCACATAAGCAAATAAAGCCGAAAATGGTGTTGGGACTCAAGTGGTAGAGCTTGAGCTGAGAGCTAAGGGACAGTGCCCAGGTCCAGAGTTCAGGCCCCATGACCACCACCACCAACAACATCAACAAAAAAACTACAATTGTGGGGCACCAGTGGTTCATGCCAGTAATCCTAGCTACTCAGGAGGCGGAGTTCTGAGGATCATGGTTCAAAGACAGCCTAGGCAGAAAAGTCCGTTGAGACTCCTACCTCCAATCAATCACCAGAAAACCAGAAGTGGCCCTGTGGCTGAAAGTGGGTGAGTTAGCCAGGAGCAAAAGAAGCTCAGGGACAGTGCCCCAGGCCCTGAGTTCAAACTCCAGGACTGGGGGGAAAAAAATGAGGAGCAATTTCAAAAATGCAGAATGGAATCTTTAAAGAACACTCGATTGATCAATTCTTAAAGTGAGAAAACAGCTGGAACCCCTTTCTTAGTATGAATACCTAAACAGTTTGATGCTATGAGGATCAGAGATTTACTCTTCATCTTATTAGATCCTCTAATGTCCTATGGTACTGAACAGGCTGAAAAAAGAAAGCATTCCTCCTCATTGTCTACAGCTATCTCTTCGCCAGTTTACTTGCTGTTCCTACAGGTTTCTAATGAGTCACAATCCAAATCCAACACAGAAATCTTAAATTACTCTTAAAAATAGAAAACAAATGTATTAAATTTTTTTTACTACTAAGTTATAGACATAATTTGGGTACAGCATAAAAAAGAAAACAACCTCTAAGAAACCATATATACACTTACTAAAAAAAGAGAAAAAGACCTAACTCCACAGACAAGTCCTTTGTAGTCACTGTATAGTATTGTAACTCGTCCACTGGAAGAGTCTCCTGTTTTATAGTCTGTATTTTCAATCATTCACCAAAGATTTGTGAAAAACTGCCCAAGTAAAATCTACTATGTACTTAGGTTTTAAACTCCAAACACCTTTACTGGGAAAACAGAAAAAAAAAAAGGAATCCTCCAAATACATATGTTTAGCTACTTCAATTCGTTTTGTTGTTAAATTCCACTATGAATTTAATAATCTCACAAGTTAATTTAAATAAATGAATCTATGTTCATACTATTTTAAACCTTTTATAATAATTATATTACTGTACAAATTGTACTAAGAATTTGAAAACTTTTTTTTTACAAATAATGAAATTAAAAAACAAAAAAACCCTGCAGACTCTAACGTTTATGGACAAAGAAAAGTTTAATGTCTGACCCAATTTTAAAAAATTGTTCAGTCATTTACTAATATTTAACAAACAGCAGGTTTCCCTACTTCACTTCCTATTTGCCTTCTTTCCCTCCCCCACTGACAGGAAACTGCTTTTGACAACAAATGAATCAGCTAGAAGTTTAAAGGCCAGCAGCCACCAGTGAGCAGATGATTCTTCCCAGTTTCCAACCCCCAGCACTTAAAATATCTCCCCCCTTCCTTTTCCTCACCAATATTTACTGAAGAATTAAAAATCCATCTGTATAAGAGATGTGTTAAGGTTTATGCAAAAGACTAGCAGGTTAAACTATACGAAACTGATCTTGTCTCGGGAATGAGGCCAGCCAAGGAAGCCTAGTGGTGGAATCTGCACGCAGTCTGCCTGACACTCAGTTTACCCAACTTGGAAAAGTAGTGAGCACACCAATAGTATTGTTCTAAATCAACTATAATTCCCATAGTATTGTCTTAAATTGACAATAGCTCCCAAAGACTTCCTCAAAGCAATGTCTAATAGCTTCTTAAAGCTGTGCCGTATATACATCCATTTTCTCTTTTATTATCAGTATATTCCGTATTTAAAATATGCCCTTGACTCTATTAAGCGCCTATCAGCCCTTTCAAGAAAAGCATGGTGAGCTTTCAATAGAAATTCTATGGAGCTCAAATTGTAAACAGGGCTTATTTGATAAGTATGAACTAAAAAATACAAAACACATTTTCAAACACAAGGCAATCCATCCTAGTTTACAGATCAGATAGGAGACTTAGTCATTTTAAGTCTACTCTCAGTTACTAACAGCCTACTAAAATAGACATAAATGTGAAACTAAGAACAAAAGTGTATTTACCACAATTATTCCCAACAACGTTTGAGAGATTTCAAGCGCGCCTCTTACCACAATCGCATGAGGAGAATGCACTAAAGGCTTTAGCTCATTCAGGTCATTTTCTGCCTGCAGAAATCGTGTGGAAGAAAAACAGACACGTCACCAGGCGCCGGTCCCGCGCCGGTCCGGCCGGGCGGGACGGGCGGCGGGCGGCGGGCGGCGGGCGGGCGGCGGGCGGGCGGGACGGGCGGCCGGCGCCCTCCTTTACCTTATCCCAGTCTCCTTCCATGACATGATTGCGGAATTTGGTGGCAGAGGGATGTTCTAAGCGACATCCTGACTCTTGCATGAGGAGGTCCACAGTCTGGCTGCGGGAGAGACACAGTGTGAACGGCCCGGCCGGGCCTCCGCGAGCTGGGGCCTGGCGGCCAAGTCGCGGCCGGCCCGCCCGCCCGCCCGCCCGCCCGCCCGCTTTCCTCAGTCCGCTCGCTCGGCCTCCAGCGTGAACCGAGGCTGAGACGCCTACGGGCCGGGGCCGGGGCCAGAGCCGGCGTCCCGGGACCCCGCGGCAGGACCGGCTCCGAAGAGCAGGTGACGAGGCCGGCGCCGGACGGACGGACGGCCGCGGGAGCTCCCCGGGGTCCGACTTCAAATACCAAACACCCCGAACGCCGCACCCGCTTCCTTCCTCCGCACTAAAACCAGCTCGTTTACCAGGGCGGGTGCGGTTCCCCGTGCCCCCGGGCCGGGCCGGGCCACCGCGCGGCCCGACGTCTACGGAGCCTCGCCCGCCGCCGCCCCGCCGCCGCCCGCCGCCGCCTCAGGACGCCGCTTCCTGCCCGGCGCAGTGCCATCCGGCCGAGCCGCCCCGCGCCCCGCGCCCCGCGGCCCGGCTTCGGGGCCGGGAACTGTTGCACGTTCGGCCGGTCCGGGCCTGGCTCCCGGGCCTTCCCTCCCCGCGTGTGCGCGCGTGTGCGTGCGCGTGGAAGAACCCGGGGCCGCGTCCACCGTCGCCCAGACAGGCGTTCAAGGTTACCCGAGTCCCTGTGGGCGCGGGGCCCGGGGCCGGGCGTCCCCTCCCGGAGCCCGCGGTCTCGGTTCCGGCTTCCCCCGGGCCGGGCCCGGCGGGCGGGCGGGCGGGCGCGGGTGAGGTGCGGGCCCGGCCCGGCCCGCGCGCCCCCCGCGCGCCCCCGCTTACTTCAGGCCCAGGCCGTTCAGGTGCTGGCCGATCAGCCGGATGACGTCCTCGTCCGACTGCGAGAGCCGCTTCTTCTTCTTGAGGCTGCTGCCCGGCTCGGGGGCGGCCAGGGCGGCGGCGGCGCCGGGGACCCCGTTGTTGACACTCGGTCCGGTGCCATTGTTGCCGGCGGCGGGCGGCGGCAGCCCGTTGGCGTGCGCCAGGTCCCCCGCGGCCGCCGGGGACGCCTCCCCGTTCTGCGCCGCCAGGCAGGCGAGCTCCGGGGTGGCGCCCGCGCCGCCGCCGCCGCCTCCTCCCGCCCCGTTGGCCTGCATGGCGCCGCCGCCGCTGGCCGGGCTGGGCCCGCTGGCTCGGGGGCCGGCGGGGGCGGCCGCGGGGAGCCCCACCACCAGCACCACGGAGGCGGCGGCGGCGGGCGCGGGCGGCGCGGGCGCGGGCGCGGGCGGGGGGGAGCGGCCTGCGCGGCCCGCCGAGGCCCCGGGCTCTCCTGCTCCCTCCGCCGCCGAGGCTCGGGGCTTCTTCCGCGGGGGCGGGGAGGCTCCGCCGGCGTCCGAGTCGGAGGAGGAAGCGGAGGCCAGAGTTTCCTCGCCGAGAGAGGCCGTGGTGGGGCCGGCGGGGCGCGGGTCGGGTCGCCGGGCGGCGGAGGGGGAAGGAGGACCGGCCCTTCCCCCCCCCTCCGGGCGCGCGGGGGGCGGCGGGGCTCGGCCCCGCGGCTGGGCCCGGCGGGCGGCGGCGGCGGCGGCGGCGGGCGGCGGGCGGCGGGGCGGCGGCCGCCTGGAGCTGTGCGCGCCGCGGCGCTCCGAGTGTTGATTCTTCCCCGGCTGCTGCCTAATGGAGTCCGGGCCGCGCGTCACAGGAAATGCCTATACTGCCCCGCGCTCACTTCCGGCGGCAGGTATGGAGCCTATAGGGGCTGTCATCGGCACGTGCGCCCGGCGGCGCGGCGGGGCGGAGGAACGCCCGGCGGCGCGGCGGCGGGGCGGGGCGGGGCGGCGCGGCGGCGGGGCGGGGCGGAGGGGCGCGGGGCGGAGCGGAGGGGCGCGGGGCGGAAGGGCGAAGGGGCGCGGGGCGGAGGGGCGGAAGGGCGAAGGGGCGCGGGGCGGAGCGGAGGGCGCCGGGCGGAGGGGCGCGGGGCGGAGGGGCGCGGGGCGGAGCGGAGGGGCGGAGCGGAGGGGCGCGGGGCGGAGGGGCGCGGGGCGGAGGGGCGCGGGGCGGAGCGGAGGGGCGCCGGGCGGAGGGGCGCGGGGCGGAGGGGCGCGGGGCGGAGCGGAGGGGCGCCGGGCGGAGCGGAGGGGCGCGGGGCGGAGCGGAGGGGCGCGGGGCGGAAGGGCGAAGGGGAGCGGGGCGGATCGGAGGGGCGGAGCAGAGGGGCGCGGGGCGGAGCGGAGGGGCGCGGGGCGGAAGGGCGAAGGGGCGGAAGGGCGAAGGGGCGAAGGGGCGCGGGGCGGAGGGGCGCGGGGCGGAGGGGCGCGGGGCGGAGGGGCGGAGGGGCGCGGGGCGGAGCGGAGGGGCGCCGGGCGGAGCGGAGGGGCGCGGGGCGGAGGGGCGCCGGGCGGAGGGGCGCCGGGCGGAAGGGCGAAGGGGCGCGGGGCGGAGGGGCGCGGGGCGGAAGGGCGCCGGGCGGAGGGGCTAGGGGCGGAGCGGAGGGGCTAGGGGCAGAGCGGAGGGGCTAGGGGCGGAGCGGAGGGGTGGAGGGGCGCTGGGCGGAGGGGCGGAGGGGCGCCGGGCCGGGGGGCACCGGGCCGGGGAGGGGCGCGGCGCGGGGCTGAGGGGCGGGGGACGGGGCGGCGCGGGGCGGAGGGGCGCGGGGCGGGGCGGGGCGGAGGGGCGGGGGACGGGGCGGCGCGGGGCGGAGGGGCGGGGGATGGGGCGGGGCGGAGGGGCGCGGGGAGGGGGGCGAGGCGGGGGACGGGGCGGAGGGGCGGGGGACGGGACGGGGCGGAGGGGCGCGGGGCGGAGGGGCGGGGCGGAGGGGCGCGGGGAGGGGGGCGGGGCGGGGGACGGGGCGGAGGGGCGGGGGGCGGGGCGGAGGGGCGCGGGGAGGGGCGCGGGGCGGGGCGGGGGACGGGGCGGAGGGGCGGGGGGCGGGGCGGAGGGGCGCGGGGCGGGGCGGAGGGGCGGGGGACGGGGCGGGGCGGAGGGGCGGGGGACGGGGCGGGGCGGAGGGGACGGGGCGGAGGGGACGGGGCGGGGCGGAGGGGACGGGGCGGAGGGGACGGGGCGGGGCGGAGGGGACGGGGCGGGGCGGAGGGGACGGGGCGGGGCGGAGGGGACGGGGCGGGGCGGGGCGGGGGACGGGGCGCGGGGAGGGGCGCGGGGCGGGGCGGGGGACGGGACGGGGCGGGGCGGAGGGGCGCGGGGCGGAGGGGCGCGGGGCGGAGCGGAGGGGCGCCGGGCGGAGCGGAGGGGCGCGGGGCGGAGCGGAGGGGCGCGGGGCGGAGGGGCGCGGGGCGGAAGGGCGCCGGGCGGAGGGGCTAGGGGCGGAGCGGAGGGGCTAGGGGCGGAGCGGAGGGGTGGAGGGGCGCTGGGCGGAGGGGCGGAGGGGCGCCGGGCCGGGGGGCACCGGGCCGGGGAGGGGCGCGGCGCGGGGCTTAGGGGCGCGGCGCGGGGCTGAGGGGCGCGGCGCGGGGCGGAGGGGCGGGGGACGGGGCGGCGCGGGGCGGAGGGGCGCGGGGCGGGGCGGAGGGGCGGGGGACGGGGCGGTGCGGGGCGGAGGGGCGGGGGATGGGGCGGGGCGGAGGGGCGCGGGGAGGGGGGCGAGGCGGGGGACGGGGCGGAGGGGCGGGGGACGGGACGGGGCGGAGGGGCGCGGGGCGGAGGGGCGGGGCGGAGGGGCGCGGGGAGGGGGGCGGGGCGGGGGACGGCGCGGAGGGGCGCGGGGCGGAGGGGCGGGGGGCGGGGCGGTGGGGCGCGGGGAGGGGCGCGGGGCGGGGCGGGGGACGGGGCGGAGGGGCGGGGGGCGGGGCGGAGGGGCGCGGGGCGGGGCGGGGGACGGGGCGGAGGGGCGGGGGACGGGGCGGGGCGGAGGGGAAGGGGCGGGGCGGAGGGGAAGGGACGGGGCGGGGCGGACGGGGCGGGGCGGGGCGGGGGACGCGGGGCGGGGCGGGGGACGGGGCGGGGCGGGGCGGGGGACGGGGCGCGGGGCGGGGCGGGGGACGGGACGGGGCGCGGGGCGGGGCGGAGGGGCGGGGGGGTGCCGGGCAAGCCGGGCGCGCGGCCTCGCTCGGGGCGGGGCGGCTCGGGTCCCGGCGCGCGGCCTCGCGGTGACCCGGCCCGACCCCAGGAAGAGGCGTCGCCGTCCCGCCGCACGCCCTCTGGTGCCCGGGCGGGGCGCAGGCCTCCGCCGCCGGCCCGCGTCCCCGCGTCCCGCCCGCACCGGCGGTTTGGGGAGTCCGAGGGCGTGGGGAGGCTTCTCCGCCCGCCACGAAGGCGAAGCCGGTGGGAAACGGCGCCCGCGCCGACCCCTCCCCAAAGCAAGGCCGGCCCAGCTCCCTCCGCCTCTGCGCTCTGAGGGGCGGCGCGCCCAGACCCGGTGTGCGTGTGCGTGCGTGTGTGCGTGTGCACCGAGCGGCCACCGGACTCTGTGTGTGTGTGTGCGTGTGCACCGAGCGGCCACCGGACTCTGTGCATGCGTGTGTGTGCACCGAACGGCCACCGGACTCTGTGCATGCGTGTGTGTGCACCGAACGGCCACCGGACTCTGTGTGTGCGTGTGCGTGCGTGCATGCGTGTGTGCGCACCGAACGGCCACCGGACTCTGTGCGTGTGTGTGTGCACCGAACGGCCACCGGACTCTGTGCGTGTGTGTGTGCGCACCGAACGGCCACCGGACTCTGTGCGTGTGTGTGCACCGAATGGCCACCAGACTCTGTGCGTGTGTGTGTGCACCGAACGGCCACCAGACTCTGTGCGTGTGTGTGTGCACCGAACGGCCACCAGACTCTGTGCGTGTGTGTGTGCACCGAACGGCCACCGGACTCTGTGCGCGTGTGTGCACCGAATGGCCACCAGACTCTGTGCGTGTGTGTGTGCGCACCGAACGGCCACCAGACTCTGTGCGTGTGTGTGTGCACCGAACGGCCACCGGACTCTGTGTGTGTGCACCAAACGGCCACCGGACTCTGTGTGTGTGCACCGAACGGCCACCGGACTCTGTGTGTGCACTGAACGGCCACCGGACTCTGTGTGTGCACTGAACGGCCACCGGATTCTGTGTGTGCACTGAACGGCCACCGGACTCTGTGTGTGCACTGAACGGCCACCAGACTGTGTGTGTGTGCACTGAACGGCCACCAGACTCTGTGTGTGTGTGCACTGAACGGCCACCAGACTCTGTGTGTGTGTGCACTGAACAGCCACCAGACTCTGTGTGTGTGCACTGAACGGCCACCAGACTGTGTGTGTGCACTGAACGGCCACCAGACTCTGTGTGTGTGCACTGAACGGCCACCAGACTGTGTGTGTGCACTGAACGGCCACCAGACTCTGTGTGTGTGTGCACTGAATGGCCACCAGACTCTGTGTGTGCACTGAACGGCCACCAGACTCTGTGTGTGTGTGCACTGAACGGCCACCGGACTCTGTGTGTGTGCACCGAACGGCCACCGGACTCTGTGTGTGTGCATCGAACGGCCACCGGACTCTGTGTGTGTGCACTGAACGGCCACCGGACTCTGTGTGTGCACTGAACGGCCACCGGACTCTGTGTGTGCACTGAACGGCCACCAGACTGTGTGTGTGTGCACTGAACGGCCACCAGACTCTGTGAGTGTGTGCACTGAACGGCCACCAGACTGTGTGTGTGTGCACTGAACCGCCACCAGACTCTGTGTGTGTGCACTGAACGGACACCAGACTCTGTGTGTGTGTGCACTGAACGGCCACCAGACTCTGTGTGTGTGCACTGAACGGCCACCAGACTCTGTGTGTGCACTGAACGGCCACCAGACTGTGTGTGTGCACTGAACGGCCACCAGACTCTGTGTGTGTGTGCACTGAACGGCCACCAGACTCTGTGTGTGCACTGAACGGCCACCAGACTCTGTGTGTGCACTGAATGGCCACCAGACTCTGTGTGTGCACTGAACGGCCACCAGACTCTGTGTGTGTGCACTGAACGGCCACCAGACTCTGTGTGTGTGCACTGAACGGCCACCAGACTCTGTGTGTGCACTGAATGGCCACCAGACTCTGTGTGTGTGCACTGAACGGCCACCAGACTCTGTGTGTGTGCACTGAATGGCCACCAGACTGTGTGTGTGTGCACTGAACGGCCACCAGACTCTGTGTGTGTGTGTGCACTGAACGGCCACCAGACTCTGTGTGTGTG